TCTTCAGTAGTGTAGTGAGTATGTTTATGCTTAATGAGAAAATCTGTGATTTCATTGCTGAGGTATGCACTGTCTTGGTCTGATGTTAAAGTACTTGGGCTATGTTCTGCTACAAACTTTTGTAAAACTCTTAACACTTCACGAGTTCCTTTATTTTTCATTGGATATGCATATGCTTTACGAGTGTTAACATTAATGAAGATGAGGAATGGTTTATGTCTCCTTTTCTGCTTTGAATGAGAGTGTCAAATTGGTATGCGTCAGGAGTATTGGAGTAAATTGGTAAAAAGTAGTCGTAAGGGTTTATTTTTGTTTGATGTACAACATTTTTGTCAAAGAACCTTTTCACTTCAGCTCTGTAGTAAATCCCCAACTCTTTGCAGCTTCATGAACTTCTTAAATGACCTCCATGGATTTGTTCGAATACTTCTTTCAAGCTCATTTTATGTAAAGTTAAAAGATTTATTCTAGGCTCAAGCGCGTTCATTGAACGCGGTACCATGCGAATATAGTCCAAATGGTGGCATATAATCTTCACCCGAGCCTGTTGGATTTGTTGTGAAAGTGTGTGAATGATTTCCTGTGGTTCCACAGAAAATACCTGCGCTTGAATCTACTGGTCACTTGAAATATCATATCTATGCATTCCCTGTCTATCCGAACCTGCTGCAAGATTTGTATAACCTCTTTTTGTTATTGAATGTGAATGATTACCTGTTGTGTTTGTAGTTCCTGTATGAGTGTGCGGTGGAAGGTTTGCTTCTTTAATTTTCTTCGAACCTCCTGTTTGCTTTGAATATCTAGCACAGTATAAGAATTTGTCTACAATCTGTTCCCACGTACCAAAACCTAAAACTGTTTCTGGATTGTTGAGTTCATTGACGTATAAATAGAGCCTATAGGATATAATGTTTGAAGTATTTCAGTCTTTAATGTTTGAAGCTCTGTTTTGTCTGCTTTCTTATCTAACATTGCTGGTAGTTCATATGCTTTCAAAGTTTCTGGCATGACCTTCGATATTCCTGCAACTGTTATCTAAATTGTTAAGAGTATCTTTTACGCTTGTACTTGGATTCTCTAAAGGTGCACTTGAACCAAATCATAGTTCAATATTATGTCGTCTGCTCTAACAGTAGTGAAGGATTTATGTGTATGTTCTTTACTGCTTTTTTATCTAACATTGCTGGTAGTTCATGTGTTTCAAAGTTTCTGACATGACCTTCAATGTTCATACATTTACTATTTAAGGAGTTTAGTGTATCTTTTACGCTTGTACTTGGATTCTCTAAAGGTGCACTTGAACCCAAATCATAGTTCAATATTATGTCGTCTGCTCTAACAGTAGTGAAGGATTTATGTGTATGTTCTTTATCTGCTTTTTTATCTAACATTGCTGGTAGTTCATGTGTTTCAAAGTTTCTGACATGACCTTCAATGTTCATACATTTACTATTAAGGAGTTTAGTGTATCTTTTACGCTTGTACTTGGATTCTCTAAAGGTGCACTTGAACCAAGGGTATAGTTCAATATTATGTCGTCTGCTCTAACAGTAGTGAAGGATTTATGTGTATGGTTCTTGTCGGCTTTACTGTCTAATGTAGCTTGAAGTTCATTTATATCGGAGATATTGTGTTTATGAGATTTCAAAACTTTGTTCGTTGCGTCAAGTTCATCTTTGTCAGCTTTACTTTTAATAGCATCTTCAAAAGTTATTTTTGCCTTAACTCTCAATGTAAATCTTGGTTCAACTAATACACCGTTAACAAAGAAGTATGAAGCATAAATTTCATTGTTATAACCAAATGCTTCTAGCGCTTTACCCGTGTCATAATGTACAGTACAGCTTATGTCATAACCTTTAGCACGAATGAATTTATATCTTCTTTCATTAACATCTTCCGTCTTCACTTCTTCTTCAGTTCGTGTTAAATATCCATGGTAGTCCGTTATAATCTGTTCGTCTGAAGTTATATAATGAACGTGGTTTTTATCTGCTTTTTCGGCTAATTTCTCATTCATCTCATTCACTTCTAATTCAACTCTTCCGCCAGAACTCTTATTATCATTAATCTTTTTCATTAATTCGGTAATTACGTCATAAAGACTATATTCTGTTTTCGGTTTTGTAAATAATGAGTCAAAATTTCTTTTCATCATTACATCGCTGACATTAATGATATCACCAATTCCTTTTTCATTTATTCTCTTCATTAATTCTGCAATAATGACGAATATATAATCTGTTAATTTATTCTCTTCATCGAGGGTTATAGAATGTTTTGAAATTGAATCATTAACTCCTCTAAATAAATCAATAACTTCAGGATACACGTTTTTAATGTCTCGAATAACCCGACCAGTATCCTGTTGTTCATGTTCTTCGTTCCCGTCGTTACGTGGTTTTATATCTCTAACCATCATCAACGCAGCCATAACCGGAGGGTTTGTTGCTATCTGTTCGAAAATCCGTCCGTTATGTACGGTATATCTAAATAATTTCTTTGTGTTTGTTAAAACATTTGAAACAAGTCTTTTAAAACCATCTACAAAATTTCCTGTTTCACCTAATGTTCTTGCAGCATTTACAAGCTCACCCATTCCCGCTTTTGACCCCAAAAACGTCCATATTGCATTTATTTCACTCTGTATAGTTGTCCATTCAGCGAAACTAACACCCGCATTCGCTAAGCTGAAAATGAAATTCAGTGGATCGAACTTAATTCCACCTTCTTTTTCAATTTCAACGAACTCACTAACATGAGATTTTAAGTATTCTTTCGTTAAAATTGTTTTCCCCGATGTTATGTCATTAACGAAACTATCACCGTCAAAAGTTAACGAATTCAATTTCGTCGTTGATGCTTTTATTTCATACACCGCTTTATCGATAGTTTTTGGCTCACCTTCTTTAGAAGCATATGAAACATTAATGAATGAATTATATGTATTCGTGAATGAATTAAAATCAATGATTTTCATTAATGACGCCTTTAATGATTCATTTACTGTCGAATCCCTTAAAGTAATTAATGAACTGTCATTTATGAAAGGTACACTGCAAACCGTCGAGTTTGGATCAAATGCTGTAGTTGGTGCAGGAATATTAATGATATAAGTCATTAAATCATTAAGTGACGTAAATAATGTTGTCGTTTTTGATTTAATTTCTTTAGCATCTGTTATATATGGTAATTTTATTTCTGTAGTTTCTGAATTAAAGATATTCGCTAAAATGTTTTGTAAACTGTTTTGAACAGCTGTGTAAACCGTTGAATCCGGAACTCTTACGATTTCACCGTCCTTAATAAAAGGCATTGCACATGGTGTAGTGCTTGGGTCAAATCTTTTTGGGTTATGATTCAACATATATTCTAATGCTTCATAAACAGACCTATATACGGTTGTATTATCTTTTTCAATAATTTCACCGTCCTTTATAAACGGCATAGTACATGGAGTTAAAATAGGGTCAAACTTTTCATAGTCCTTCCATGTTATGTATTTCTCAGTATTTCCATCAGTGATAACAATATATTTGTCAGTAAGTGTGAGAGAGTATTGACCAAAATATAAACGTTTAGCTCTGTCAGCTTCATACGCATATGCAGCTATACTCATATTTTAATGAGAATAAAATGTTGTTCTATTTGCAAAGTACAGACCCAAACGAATACGGGACAGTAAAGCTACAAACAAACTTAGGTCTACAGAATGAGGCGCTTGCATTCAGAATGGTTGACTTCAATACTATCGCTTCATTCGTTATAACAGATGAAACAGATTTCATGGAGATTGAAATAGATGGAAAGAAGCACGAAATAAGATTTCACAATAATGTAGAATATAAGATGGAAACATTAGCTGGAGTGTTAAATGCTCTCATAAATACTACAATAAACAAGGATAACGAAGAAAACTTAATGAATGTTAAACTTATTGCAGGAGTTTTGAAGTTCAGTTATGCGAAGGAGTTTAAGATAACACGAATGAGTCATAGAGTACAACTTCTTTTGGGTGCATACCATATGACATTTCCTTTGAAAAGTGTTGACAAAACGATTGAGATGAAATCTGTTCCATACGTATGTTATGGTAATTGTTTGTACATTGAGTCTAAAATAGCTAATGTCACAGGCATTTCAGGAGTTAATAGTAAAGGTTCAGTAGAATATAAATCCTTCTGTTATGCAGTCAATTCAATGTTCATTCCAAACGTTCCTGTCATAGCAACTCATTTAGGTAAATGGGTTCGCATTAGTCCTCATAATTTGAAAGACATGCAATTCAGACTTGTTGACTTTCAAGGAGAGCCTGTAGAACTGAAGGCACCAGTGCGAATGACTGTTGAAGTTGACTTTTTAGAAAATATTAAATGCAACAGCTTACAAGAGAACTCAGAGCTAAAAATATAAAGTATGAATGTTATGTATTAGGTCATGAACTTTGGTTGTTGCTGTTTGATGAAACAAATGAATTAGTTATGTCAGTCAAGAGAACAGAAAAATATTGTGTTAGTGAAAACTGCACCAAGTCAATAAGATTAGGTTTGCATTATGAAGATGAGTTCGATACTGTTGAAGAAGTTTTGGATAGATATTACAAATTGCTAACTTGAAATTTTTTTGACTGACGGCGCAAAGCGCCAAGATGGGCTCAAAGAGCCCTCCTGACTGCTTTAATTTACTAAAACATATTTCAAACAAAGTTTATATTCTGTTGAAAGTTTTGTATATCATTCGAATATTTATACTTAAACTCAACTCCTGTAGTTCCTGGTGTTTCAATGATGCGGATGTTACCTATTTTCATGAATAGTGGAGTTTGACCACAGCATTCGATTTCAGGGTCGAGATAGTCAATGACACATTGTTTCCCTGTTATTCGTGAGATAACATTTTCAAGGTCCTCCTTTGTTAGAATTATTTGGTTCTTGCTTATAAGATTTGTCAAAAGCTTCTTATCGTCTTTGAGTAAAATTGTTTGGTATAACTGAAGAAGGTAATGGTCTACGTTATCTGAAGGATTTGTTTGAACATTTGTGTAAGGGTTGTCGTTGGCTTCTCTTGAAAGAATTTGGTCCAGTGGTGGATACTCTAACTTAACATCTGATGTAGCGTTAGCGTTTGAAGCTGAGTTTAAATTCACGGATTTCAGCTCTGGTTCTTTTTCTTTCAAACACTCTGAACTATAGTTCTTTATGACAATATTGTTTGTCGTTCGTGAGTCAACATTTGATGTTGGTTCAATTGGAACATTAACGGCACCAGCTAAGATGGATTTGCTTCTCATTTCATATAGAATAAAAACCTTTTATATGTATGAAATGAACAATATACTCGACAAGGGTTTGAATGTAAAGCTAACGAATGAAAATATTGTTGAATTCACTGAGACAGGTGCTGTGTATAAAGATGTAGAACTACTGAACAAAAGAGCTAAGGGAAGAAGCAGGAACATGAACAAAGGGTGGAAGCCTATAAAAATTTATGTCAATGATGGCTCAGGAGGTTCAAACATAAAGTATGCAGAAAGTTATAGAGTTTATGCTCTCAAAGGTGAAAAGCCTTCATTTAAGAACAGCTATTCTAACGCATATCCTCAAAAGCTAACGGATGGGGAAGTGGATGATATGAATGACAGCAAAAATATTAACAGAAATGGCGACAGAGATGCATGGAATTTGTTTACCATCAGTCAATTGAAGGTTAAACTTTAAAACAATGTTGGTCGTTCCCATGGAATATTTTTGACTTTAATGGTATTAGTCATGATATGAATCTCAAGGTATGAACGAGGAGAGATGAGAGACTTATATGCTTCCCAAATTTCTTCAAAAGGTAATGTTATACCTGACTGTTTCCAAATGAGTTCAATATCATAACGTGAGAAACCTTGAAAGATAACGAAGTCAGTTATGAGACGTTTTATGTTTAAAGCTAAAAACCTCCATGTTTGCATAAGTATTGCTACAGTTAAGTGGTAATGTCTGACTTTAGTAATGATGTTAGCTAATGGTGAGTCTGGTTTTGACACTAAACCTTTTCCGGCGAAGTCGTCGCAAACGAGCAGAGTGTTTGAAGGATATTTTTTGAAGGGGTATTTTGAAAGTTTTGACAGAATGTAGTTTGTAAGTCGTTTCATATCGTAAACTCCTGAGTATTGACGTAAGTGGTGTTTGTCAATAATTCTTTCCATCTCCTCAGAAGTCTTTTGCATTCCTGACTGTATAAATTCAACGATGGCATAATATTTCCTCTTACGTCGAATGTAACGTTGAAGAAATTCAATGAGTTCACTGTCTGGAACTTTAACGACAGAGGCTTGAACTTTTGACATAAATGTTTTCGCTGTTGAGTCCATAGAGTCTGAAGTTGCTGATATAATGATTTGGTCATAGTAAGAGTCGTTTCCTAAACGTTCTGTTATGAGTATATGACGAATGAGGTTAAATGTCTTACCTGAACCCATCTTTCCACAATAGAAATAAACCACCATTTGAACAGAACTCATAGTCCTTACTGAAAGGAAGAATGAGAGAAGAGTTAAGTTTGTCTGTAGTTTCATTCATGTCTTCATCTACGTCATGTATTAAATGCTTCATTTTATCTCCATTAAAAATGCAAGTCAGAAATATTCAGAACATAGCACCGAGTCTAACTGACAAGAGTATAAAGATATACTATGAACATGTTATGATGAAACCAACCAAAATTCAAGAAAGTCAGTATACTTATGAATATCCAAGACACTGGGTAGAGTATGTAGGAGGTGAGAAAGCTATTGAAATCAGACAGGTTCGAAGTATTCCAGCAGGAAGAACAATATTATTGAAGAACTTTAATGTTTTGAGATATAATGATGAAACAAAGAAGCAAGATAGTTTCCTGTTGCTGTGTATGTGAACTTAGATACAGGAGATGACATGAAAGTTTTTAATACAAAGCTTCAAACGGTAGTGAGAGAACAACTGACTGCGGAAGGACATCCATTACCTTCAGAAGTTACCATAGCATATAATTTTGAAACAAACTCAATAGATTTTAAAGTCATCTCTGCAAAGAAGTCAGGTTTTACATTTAATGAAGCAGATGTATATTCGAATGAAAACTTCAAAGCTATTGCATGGTTAGATAATGACGATTGCTTTAAGAAAATATTTAAATACAGTGACTCAACGATGTCAATAGATGACCTTCGTGGAATGTTACCATCGACGTTTACAGTAGAAGGTTCAGCAGGATTGCTTACAAGATTGTCAATTGGTGGTATTTGGTCTCGTGAGAACATTGTTATAAAATCCAGTATAAGTGAATTTGCTGAAGAATCTATATTATGTCTTTCAAACTATATGTATTCGCCACCGAAGCATTATAGTATAACAAACTTTGTCAGTAAGTTTAACATAAGACTTGTCGAACCTTCTTCAATGAAAGATGTTGTGCTACCTAAAGATGGAAAGGATGGACTCATTATTGAGATGATTTTAATTGCATATTAAATGAGCTTGTTCTTGAAGGTCATTCATGATGAAATAACTGTTGTAGAAGATGTTAGCAATTGTTCAGACATTTTGAAGCGTATAGATGATATAAGAAAGAAGTTAGATAGACCGCAAAGCGGTGAGGGCGAAGCCCGTGAGAACGCTTATGTTTCATTGACTTTCTCCAGTAACGAGAACTTTTATGAGATAATATTGAAGAGAGATGATTTTAATATGGTGTAAATGGTAGCTTGGGCAGCTTTAGGCGCAATGGGAACAAAAGCATTAGCATTTGGAGCAAAAGCACTTGGAGCTTATGACGCAGTAAATAAAATGAGTGGAGGAAGGGTTTCAAAGACATTAGATGCAAATAAAGGAAAGATTGGAGGCTGGGTTGCAAAGAAGTTAAGATTAAATAAAATAGGGCTCATAAATAAAGCATCCAATTTGGTTGCGACTGAGTCAGAAAATGCTTTAGGAAAGGACGATGAGTTTGCAAAACAGCAAAAGACTTTAATGACCAGATGAAAGGTGAAACAATGCATTTAAATAGATTCGATGGAACTAAAGAAAATGTTTCTTCTCCACCAGTAGTTCTTCCGTATGGTCCCTATGGAATGTATGGAAACCCTTACGAAAGACCATTTGACCCATTGACTGGTGGAAGTAACTGGTATCATTACGGACGAAGAAGAAAGACAGTCAAGTTGGAGACAGACGTGAAGAAAGCAACTAAAAAGAAACCAAGGAAGAGAGTTATAAAGCAATGAATTCAACAGGGTGAAAAAACAGGTGAAAAAAGAGGTGAGATCTCACCACTTCACCTAAATTTATTTTTGTGCTATGTTTTCATACGTGTGAGGGTGGTGATATCATTAATTTTTAAGTTTATTTTTTATTTTACTGAAAATTTTTATTTGGATGTAAATGACAGAACAAAAGCAACTCATTCGAATTCCACAGTATAACAAACATACATTTAAACATTTATTCTTCCTTCCTGAGCATAACATGTTCTTTCAAATACATCCGAGACCAGTTGACTTTTCATTGACTGTGTATAAAGATAGAAATAGTTATATCATTAAACCATACGATGACGAAGGTAAGTTATGTAAATTGTACGTTAAGAAGTTAGAGAAAGTTTATGGCTTCAAGTATGACTACAATAGGGTTAACACTGATGATGAAGATATTGAGGAAAATTTATGAGAACATTAGTGAAGTCGTTAGTGAGAACGATAGTGAGAACGTTTATTTTTTACATTAGTGAGTTCGTTAGTGAAGTGGTTGGCGGGTTTGTAAAGTGTCAAATTCACAAGTATTGGGTAAGGTGGAACGCAGTGCCGCCGTACACATGACTTGTATACTAACTTTCTCACAGTCAACATACGAGGGTCCTGGCTGAAACGTTCTCAAAAAGCCTGAGATGGTAACTCTCTGATCACTCATAGCTGGGCAGGTAGTCATTGCTGACAATACCTGTCTTTATGCATGCACGCTTTCATGTATATGGGTTTACACTATCAATTCGCAAAGTTGTTCCGAATTCTTCCAAAATGGAAGGACCCGAAACAACTTTGCTTGTTAACGATACAGACGCATTACTTTGCATTGATACTGTGCTGAGTTGTGTAGAAAGTTTGATTAGAGTTGTTTTGTTCTGGTATCTCTCATCTTCTGATGAGAGAAATCAAAGCAACACAACTCTAATGAGTTTGTTTTCACTCATTTGTATGTAGGTTTTTAGTTCGATTGGAGCTGCTTCATAATGAGATCTCTCATCAATTGATGAGGGAGATCATAACAAAGCAGCTCTAATGTATATGCTCGTATTAACCGTGTTGTAATGCGTTGTAACGTCAGCTTGTAGTTCGTTTGGGGCCACTTCACATTGAGATGAGAAGAAATGATTAAAGGACTCTGAAAGGCTTTGGCCGTTGATGTTGTAATCGCATTACTTGGAACTAGCTGGATGCTAAGCTGTGTAGAATGTTCGATTAGAGCTGTTTTGATATGATTTTTCTCATCATAAGATTGGAGGAATCATAGCAAAACAACTCTAATGGGTTTACCATCATCTACTTGTATGTAGATGTTTGGGAAATTGTCTTGTTAATCGATTTTCGAGATGATTTTCAAATGCTATAATCAAATGACAAACAAGTCTAAGATTTCTCGACAATACATCAAATCATGATGTTTGTAAGTGCGATGAGATTAGAGTTTTTGAAGGAATGACAAGAGAAGTAGGGAAGCTCGGCATTCGCCGAGCAAATTAAAAATTAACGTATGGATTAAATTTTAAGAGGAATTCAATTTTAATTACGGGTTGTTCAAATATTGATTAATATAAATTTATTAATAAGAATAAACAATTTTTTTTGAATTTATTCAATTTATAGCTTTACATATAGTTTCAAAATTGTACAACTATGATTATTTCAACAAAAAATATCTTACTTTTTCACTTCACTTTCACACCCACTTTTTCCGTAATTCAAATTTCAACATTATGTATTTTAATTCCTTATAGTATTTTTAACATAATTAAGCAAATAATAATTGGAAGTTCTGAACTCACTTTTTCCGTAATTCAAAATCAAAAATATGAATAATATATCTATTTATTATATACTAATGCTATTTTCAACTAGAAGTGAGGTACGGTAATCTTACGGATTCCCGTAACTCAATTTTACGGAAAAAGTGCAGTAAACTACTCAATTTACGGAAAAAGTGTCGTAAACTATTGATGTGGCGGTAAAATCACGGTAATTCACGGAAAGCTATATGCGAAAATTTGAAATTATACAAAATCGAGCGAAACACTTTTAAATAGGTTGTTCTCGTATTTAAAATACTATTCCCAGATTTATTGTCGTCAGAATATTTCCAAATTTTTGCCGATTTACAAAAAATGATTTACAAAGCATATTTTTTAATCTAAAAAATTCCTAAAAAAAGGAACCTGTGTGCGGAAACCTCGGTAAATTACCGCGGTTCCCGTTGGGACTGCCATATATTCAATTAATTGCAACAAAGCATTGAAGTAATTAAAGTATTTTAGCATTAAAATTTTACTAATGCTAAAAATATTCGTGAAAGCCTCTTTGGAAAGCAACAATGTAATGATGGAAGCAATAGGTAATTTATATGAATTACAAATATTTAAAAATATGGAAATAATCGAAATTTAATTTTCCAGTTAAAGCTAAAATCTCAGGTCCATCAAGCTTATATGTAACGATAAATTTTCTAGCACCCACCGAAACCTACTCATTAAATTGTATTTAGCTGAACAATTATCGAAAAAAGTTTACAATAATTCAATCAATAATTTGAATGTTTCGGAAAATTTTGTCAGAATCGATAATTTTTTGAAAGGGTAAATGTCACTTTTATTATTCGATAATTGTTCAAATGAATTTCAAAATTTTATGAAAACATTTTTGATATTTTAAAAAGTATATTATAATTGAAGTATAGGGTGTCCAAAGGTGCGTTTAGCACAGCGCTCTATATGAGACTATTAAAGGAGATATATGCTGATTATAAATATATAATAAAAAATATGAATATATGTATATGATGAGTATGTTGTATTTTGGCGCCATGCCGGGATATAAAATGAATTTTGAGACAAGAGGCGGTTTCGCGGGAAATTTTGGCGGGATTTTTTTCATTTTTTTAATGAATCATAAAGAAAACATCCTCGCTCTTGCAAAAAAATGCAAAGACTGTAAAAAAATCTACGAGACATTGGTAAAATGCTTCGGTATGGATGCTCCTAGCTATTCCACTGTAACGTATCATGTTAGGATGTATCACTTCATGAACAAAAAGGCGCCCATCATAAAAATTGACAAAAAATCGCCGGATCAAAGAAAAATCAAAGCAATTCTTCAAGCGCTAGATGAAGACCCAAGAGCATCACTCAGAAGGATAGAGGAGATGACAAAGATACCACGTACAACAGTCAGTTATTATATGCACAATTATTTGAACTACAAACTAGCGTATACACGTTGGGTTCCGCACAACCTTAATTCAGTTCAAAAAAAATCTAGAGTCCAATCTTCGAAAGAGCTCCTCTCTATATTGCGTGCGTATCAATCCAAGAAGTTTCGCTTTTTAGTAACAGGGGACGAGTCTTGGTTTCAATATGCAACAGAAGCCAAAATCATGTGGATCCCGAAGGATGAAAATCCGCAAACATTCCCGAAGAAAAAAATTGACACACCAATGATGATGTTGTCGGTTTTTTGGGGCGTGAATGGCATCATCGCAATTGATATTCTTCAAAAACCTAATACGATGAATGCTCAGTATCTAATTGACAATGTTCTTACTCAAATTATCAATTCTGATGAGTTTGAGAAATCCAAACAACAAAAACAAAAGTTTGCAATTCATTTTGATAATTCAAGAGTTCACAAAAGTCATAAGGTAATGAATTACTTGGTGGAAAACAATGTCAAAGTTGTTCAAAACCCAATTTATTCACCTGATATTGCACCCTCTGACTTTTATTTATTCGGCACGCTAAAAAAGAGAGCTGAAGGACGCGAATTCGCGAGTCCAGATGATCTTGAAAATTTTGTAAGAGAGCAATTTGAGCAATTTTCTCATGATGATTTAAAGCGTGTCTTTCAAGCCTGGATCGATCGCTGCGAACGCGTGATTGAATCCAATGGTGATTATATTTAAATAAACTTTATATATATGTAACTTGTTTATTTCTATTCGCAGTATTCAGGTTTGTGCTAAACACACCTTTGGACACCCTATATTATTCACTTAATTTTTTCAAATTTTTCAAAAAAAATTCTATGAAAAAAACTGTTCATGAAATCTTATTGAAAAAGAAAATCATTTTTCAAGAATGAAGATCCAAATCACTGGTGAAAACACAGAGGCATTCGAAGTAGAAGTAGAAAGTGCTCAGTCAACTGTTGTTGAACTCAAAGCAATAATCGCTTCAATCAAGGAAACAGATTATGATGACATGCATCTCTTCTTAAACGACAAAGAACTCGATGACGAGAAAACACTCGAAGAGAGCGGAATTCAAGAAAATACATCTCTCAAAATGGTCAAGAAGGCTTCATCCGATGATAAATGCTTTGGAGGTTTTCCATTCGGATTCTTCGATCCAAAGAAGATTCAGGAAATGTTAGATCAAGTCGAAAAAGATCCAAAGTCAATCTACCAGATCATCAACCAATTTCCAATGCTCGCTGCACATCCACTGGTTCACCCAACAATTCAGCAGTTCGTAGATCATCCAGAGACATTCAAGCAAATCATTTGAATGTTGAAGAATCTGTCTCAGACATTCACACAAGGAATGACACAGTTCAAAGAAGATGCCGAGAAACTCCAGAATAATGAAGAATTCAACGAGATACTCAAAAACACATTCAACTGTGATTGCCATCACTCGGAAGAATCGGAACGTCAGAATTCAGAGAGAGAAAACTTTTACAATCTTACAGGTGTTGAACGCACACCAGAAATGGCTGCTATGATTCAGAAGGCAGAAGCAGCTGGAGATATCCATAATCTCATAGAGACAGTCAGAATACTTCGTGCTAATGGAATTGATGTCTTCAAGGGTGTCGAAATCAATGGTTCCAACGATAATGATAATTATGAGAAGAAGTATGAGCAGCAATTAAATACACTTGGTGAAATGGGATTCCTAGACAAAGAGACAAATATATCAATCCTCAAGCAAACAAATGGAAACATCAACCTCGCACTAGAAAAGATATTCAATAACCACTAAAATTATTAAATTTTTCTAATTTTCATTCAATTTTCATTATCTTTTTCACAATAACAAGAACGAATTATACAATCTCCTAAATTGTCTTCTGTGAAACAGTGTGGGGTATATCATTCCTTCGTTAAACCTATATTGGAAATATATCAAAAAGAGATACTTTGTACCTATTGTGAACTACGAGCCAAAGTTGCAAAATACAAGGCATAATAAATATAATCTTCTAAATTAAGTAATTATATGTGCCTCGGGGAAAGTGTCATTATTTTTTTTTGGAAAAGTGACAATTCAAAACATGGAAAATTTTGTATTAAATTTAGAGTCCGCCTATTATGAGTTAGACCAATATGATCGCCCGATTTTTCATATGATAATTAATGGTCATAATGCTTATGTAACTCTTGATCATGACAGATTTTTTTATGAATATCATGTTGTTCCTTTGGATTCTTTCGAAGATGAGTGGGATTGGAGTGACATTTTACCTGGAATTCATATAAAGACTATTGGAGGAATTACTGGTGGAAAAGTTGAGACAGATGTAGCTGGATGTACTGACGACGAAAAAATTTATGCTTTAACAGACCAATTTTTTAAATATGCTTCTAAACGTAACTATGAGCCTCAAATAATTGATATTAATTAATAAAATTATTTTCAAATTGTAATATTTTTAACGTTATTTGCATTAAATATGCTACTTTTGAATGTTTATTATTTTTTGTCTAAGAATTAGTATGAAAAACTGAATATAACTTCACATTCTTATCCAATATCGACCATAATGATATCTATAAGTATATTTATGATAAATACAATGATAGTGTATATAAAAATCTATATTTTTATGCGAGTATGTAAATAAACAAATATGACTTGATTATTCAGAAATCGAAACAATTATTATTAATTATATCATTTATGTATACTAATGCCTATTTATGTAGCAAATCCCGATAGTACTCAGCAAAATTATGATAAAATAGTTAATTTTGGTAAAAATTATAATTAATATTTAATTTATAAGCTTGTAATTAAATATATATATTCTATATTTGGATTAGTTCAATGTATTTATCATTTCTTATATCAAATCCCTATTTTATCTCTCAAATTTTAAAGATTTATATTTTGTCCTCTCAAAATTGTGAGCACGTATAATAATTGAATGTCATTTGAATCTTATCAGTAAAGATGAAAACTTTTTCACTTGAACCAAAGGTAATTTCGATCCTATTTTTAGAGAAGCATTAATAAGTGTATCCATTTGCCCACAACATCATTTCGATATTATTCTACTACCCCATGAAAATTCAAGATTTAATATTGACTTTTTAGGAAGGCAATAAGAACCGGGAATCTGTTAATTAATTATAATGATTCGATTTGTAAATTTACATCATCTTAATATTGCATGTAAAGCAACTTATGATCTCTAAAATGCAATTGGCTCAGACGATTTCTCGAACATGTAGAGAACATTATATCTCATATGTATGCCAATTAATTGGAGCAGTTCAATTTGGAAATTATTTTGTCGTGACAAGCATATTAACCGATTTGGGCCATCTTATTACAAAACTGAGAAACTCTCAAGAACACTAGCATACATCAGAATATACCACATACTTTCTAAACTAATATCCCCTGTTTCTGTTTACATTTCCTTTTTCCATAATTTAATTTTTATTTCTGCTGAAAGTTATGCTCAATCATTGCTTTTATTGGAATGAATATAAACATATAAGCCTATCACCATAAACATATCTATGAATTAAATTTATATCAATTAGAATAAATTTGAAAACCAACACTCTAAATCATGATTTTACAGAACAGTCTTTCTACGAATTAAAAAAATGGTCTTCAATCTCCAATATGAAATTGGGACAATTCAAAACAGTAGACTTTCTGAACTGAAAATCATTATACAAGAGAATAATATTGAAATTTAACTTAAGGGCTATGATTGTTTCTAATGAAATATATTTACAATCAAATGCATATAGATATAAATTATAGAAACCAATACACTATATATTGATATTCATCAACATTTTTTAGCTAATTTAATAAGCAGTTCATACTGGTCTCCACATATTAATCAAAAAAATGAAAAAGTAATCCGACCAACCGGATTCGAACCAGTGACCCCGGGATAACCACAATTCTACAGTCCCATGCTCTAACCAACTGAGCTATGGTCGGTTTACATTTTTTAACCTTTATTAGCTTTTATAATAATAAATAAGTACTTTTTTAAAATTTTTGGTAAAAAATTATATTACAGCAGACGAATTATGACATTATATCCAGCTATTGAAGCTATATACATTGATCCTAAATGTAAATCCTTCATTAAGTAAGAATCGTGAAAATTGTTTTCAAACTCATTTTCATGATAATGCTCTTTATGGCTCATACATATCAGAAAATTTTCATAATTTTATCATAAAAATTGAAGTTGAGATGAAGTTAATGAAAATTGGTTTATCATGAAAAAAAATATATAATGTATGAGAGATTTATAAAAAAAAATAAGAAATAATAAGAAAAATAAATAATATTATGCTACAACGCCAAGTGCAGACTGAAGAGATTCATACAATTCGTTGAAATTCGAGCCATCACCGTGTAACAATCTCAGGCTTACATTTACATCCTCTGTTGTTCTGAATGTTCCTTCGATTGTCACGTAGAGGTCTACTTCCTCAGATCTTGCGATAATTTCCTGAGGATTTGGATGGAACCACTGCATTCCCATAGATTTGAGCTGGGTCTGGATATTGAACATTATCTGCCATATTGTTATACCAAATGTCTCGAAAGTCTTCTCTTGGAGGTAATTATTTTGTTCTTCAACGCCCCAAGTGTATTGTGTAGCATAGGACATCTGGCTGAGTGATAGTGATTCTGATGGGGTGACACCGTGTCTCTGGAATGGATCTGCTGAGTCTGGATGGAAATGAACAACATGTACCGGAGTCATGATTTCGGATTGTTGGAGAATATCAACGGAATTGGAATCCGCGGCATCCCATGGTATAGACATTATATTTGTCTTCTGCTCAAGCATCGTTAAGAATACTTTGGCCATCGTATTTTCGGGGGAAGAAAGGTCCGCTTGTAAATCTTCCTCGCTAAAACCAATGCGGAGAAGGTTTTTCAGTAAATCGGGATTGATTTGTTCGACATTGATTGGGCCAACGTTGACAAATGGTAATGGCTTTGGTAATATGTATTCTGGATTGAGTCCTTGGCGGAAACATGGGTGCTGCTTGATTTCTTCGATGGTTATACGACGGTCTGGATCGACTGTGAGTATTCTGTGAATTAAATCTTGAATATCTGGGTGAAAGGCGGGCATTTGGAAGGTTCCTCGCTTAACTTTATGGAGAAGTGATCGGATGGAAGCATCATCAAATGGAAGATAGCCGGCTAAAAGAGCAAATAAAATAATTCCAACGCTCCATATATCAGCCTTCCTTCCATCGTATGCCTTTCCACTAATAACCTCAGGAGCTGCATAGTGGGGTGATCCACATGATGTTTCAGCGATATTTGTTTTAATCCATCGGGCAAAACCAAAATCTGCGATTTTAATTCTTGTTGAGGCGTCAAGAAGGATGTTTTCTGGTTTCAGATCGCGATGGCAGATACCGTGCTTGTGAAGATATTCGAGAGCAAGAATAATTTGTCTGAAAAAATCAAGAGCCTGATCCTCAGGAAGGACACGGCGTGATATAAGATAATCGAATAATTCACCTTGTTGGGCATATTCTAAAACTAAATACAAATGCTTTGGACTTTCAAAAACATCGATAAGTCTCATGATATTTGGATGCTTGACCAACCCCATGAGAGCTATTTCTCGCTGTACTTTAGTTTCAAGACCGGCTTTCTTCTCAAATGAGCTTTTTGGAATAATTTTAATTGCAACGTTTTCGTTTGTGTCTTTATTAAAAGCAAGCTTAACCTTTCCTGTTGTTCCTTCACCTAAAGTCCTAACTGGAATGTAGTTTCCGATGCATGGTTCTCCTGTGCCTGGGAGATTTCCGTCCATGTTTTGTAAACTAACTTTTTAAATTAGAATTTGACCAATATTAAGTAGATATGTGGAACGCTTGCCATACATATTATCATAATTTATATGTAAAATTATGAAATTTTGGATGACCACAAATTCATTCAAAAATTTTTTTGAGAGGAAAGTACGCCAAAATTCGAAATCCTTTAGAATGTCAAAAATCAATATCGGTATAATATGAGGTATTTAGAGAAACTGATTGTTATTGAAATTGAAACATAAAATTTGAAACACAACTTTCTGAACTATCCAGTCATTTCTCATATAAGTTCGTAGTATTATCATGTTTCAAAGATGGTACTCAACATTACGCATATAGTAATCTAATGATCCGATTCATTGAATCCAGATTTTATTCACCATCAAAAAGAGTAGGGGTAATTTTAGCTAAAAGTGACACACCTGTAAAAAGTGACACACCCGTGAAGGGTGTGATTACCGATCGGTAATTTCGACAGTTTAGAATTTAAAATTTTTTATGGAACTGTTGCGAGTTTCATAAAGAATTTAAGGAATATAAGCAAAGATTTGAATCAAAATCTTAGACCTAAGCCGATCGATTCGCTCGCGGCTTCCGCGAATTACAGATCAGCAAAGATTTGAATCAAAATCTTCGAACTAAGCCGATCGCTTCGCTCGCGGCTTTCTTTATTATTTTAAATTTGTATATTTCCATCAAAAGTTCATAAGGTAAAAAATTTCGTTTATATTATTGCAAAATAAAATCTTCATTATCAAAATAATATTAAATAATAATATAATATAATTTATAAACAACTATTATTTAATAAAGTTTAATTGCCAAGGTTCATCTAATTTTTTGATTTTTAATGTTTTATGAATTTTATTTATCATGTATATACCTAATGAAGATTATATATGTAGAAGATAAGTACCTTAATATGCACGTAAATTTTAATGAAATTTATACAACATTATAAAAATTTATGAATAAAAACTTGATATAAAATAACATTTTTATTTTTACTAAGAAAAAAAGGTTTTTGATAATAAATTTATTTTATTTCGAAAAAGTAGCAATAATCGTAAAAGGGTATTGATAGGCTTGCTAAAGTAACTAATTTTAGCTGTCAAATACTTTTGTATTTTGAAGTAAATTAGTATAAATTTGTTTTTACTTTTATTTCGAAAAAGTAGCAATAATCGTAAAAGAGTATTGATAGGCTTGCTAAAGTAACTAATTTTAGCTGTCAAATACTTTTGTATTTTGAAGTAAATTAGTATAAATTTGTTTTTACTTTTATTTCGAAAAAGTAACAATAATCGTAAAAGGGTATTGATAGGCTTGCTAAAGTAACTAATTTTAGCTGTCAAATACTTTTGTATTTTGAAGTAAATTAGTATAAATTTGTTTTTACTTTTATTTCGAAAAAGTAGCAATAATCGTAAAAGAGTATTGATAGGCTTGCTAAAGTAACTAATTTTAGCTGTCAAATACTTTTGTATTTTGAAGTAAATTAGTATAAATTTGTTTTTACTTTTATTTCGAAAAAGTAACAATAATCGTAAAAGGGTATTGATAGGCTTGCTAAAGTAACTAATTTTAGCTGTCAAATACTTTTGTATTTTGAAGTAAATTAGTATAAATTTGATATTATTTTAACTCCCTTTGAAAACCTCAATTTTCCATACAGAGGGAACGGGAATAGCATCCAATATTCCCTGAGAATGGTTGCGCATTCTCAGTTCCCTCTATATTTCGAACGAAGCTCTCATCGGTCTTTTTTTTTAATACTAAACGTTTTTTTTTCCTGTCACTTTTAGCTAAAATTTGGGGTTGCCCCATCAAAAAAAAGTTTCTTTTCTATTTGCAGAAAATCTAACCTGTAATGTATTAATTGATATTTCATATTAGTTTGTCATTCAGGGTTACATCTTCTAATTAATGATAAATTTTCCGAAATGAAGTGCTTTTACTCTTTAATTTTGTTCAACCTTTAATACAGAATCCATGACCAGTTTTATACTTTTACTGAACTATTCTTTGCAACTCTTATTCTTGTATTTTTAAGCGTTCAATGAATAATTATCTTAAAAAGCCAAACGGATAGTAATCCATTCAGAACCTGGCTTCTTCAAACCGCTTCGGTATGATATTGATTTATTAATATCAAATATTGTCAGAATTTAATAAAATTGTGTTTTTATGTAAACTATAGATGTTTATAAACATTTATGCACTCTTTAAAAAAAATTATAAATTATATAATATAAAATTTACATTCAAACATTTTTCAATGATTTTCCGGGTAGTCCTGAGTACCCATTGTGAGGTAAGCCACATCAGTACAAAACGCTGAAAACTCTCTAGAGAAATCTCCGCTGTTTTCCAGCATTTGGAAGTGCTGAGCGAGGACTTCTTGGTCAGATTCAAGGACATTTAATGATCTGATATAAGGGAAAATGATTTTTTCGATGAAATCTGGTACTTGTTCGTACAACATGCTCATGAACTCCAAAATGCAGTCCCTGAGTGTTGTATGCCTATTTGTGCACATTTCTGTGCATAACTCTGTAAAAGCGTTGTAAATAAATCCGTCTTCGATTGTATCTAAGATTCTCATCATTGTTTGGGCAGTCGTGATTGTCTTTATCGCAGATTTCACGGCATCTGGGTAATGGTTGTTCAATCCTTCGAAAAACAGAAATCTTAATAATCTATTTCCGTTTTCTGGCGAAATTACCGCCCATCTGTCTTCAATCAACGCACTGATAATATTAATAGTAGGGAGAAGTAGCTCGCAGTTCGATCCGAGGAATTCCAAACCAAATCTGTCAATTAAATTGACAATGTTTTCGGTTTGAGCGGCCGTTATTGATGTTCTGAACTGTGCAATACGGAAAAGAAGCTGGAGGAACGATGTGGCTGCGATTTGCTCGATTGTTCCATTCATCATATTCGATAACGAGCCTTCGAGAGGAGCAAACAATCTGGCAATGATTTCGCCGATGCTGTCTCCTATTTGAGCGTTAAAAGCTGTGATAAAAACGTACAAATAATCAAATAATGGCTGCATTATATTTTCTGGGCATCCTTTTTCATAAATTGTTAGGATGAGATCGATATTTGGCGCGAATGCAGCGTAAACGAGGTCTTTGCTTGTCCTTTCTGTCAAAATAATACAATTCAAAGAATGTTTCATTATTTTGAGAGCAATTGGACATTTGAGGGGGTCCAAGAGGCTGCTGAACGTTACAGCGAACATCTCAGAAATTGCGTTCGGATCTTGAACTAATGGAGTATTTTGGGCATCTGTCGGCGGAGAAGCTGAGACAGTGATCAAGCAGCACATGTATAAAAGGTAGTTCTCGGGAGAAAGGTTAAGGAAGTCCTCGTGGCGACTGATAAGCTGTTGTAAGACTAATTCGGCAGATTTAAGTGGTCGGATGATTTTTAGTGTTTCGAGAAGTAACTCCAGCATTGAATTGATGAACTCTTGACTTGTAGCTATTGCAACTCTCAATAAATGCAAAACTTTTTCAAGGAAAAATCTATCCATCCTAGAAAACTTTCGGACGTAGTTTTCTATGATTGTTTTCGTAAGAATAAACAGTTCGAAGGTCTTTTGGATGTTTTCGTCCATACGATGTGTCATAAGTTCGTTCATGTAGCGAATAAAGCTATCGCTGATCATCGCAACATGAGGATCATCATCGGAAAGTATATCTATCATATGAATAAAGCAGCTGAGAAGGAATTCGGCCGAACCAAGTCTATTATTTATAGCTGTGGACGTTGCGCGTTGGAATATTTGGTATATTTCATTGGGAAATAGATTGAAAAGATCGTTAATCAGCTCATTGATGTTCTTGGAGTCTTCATCTGTAATATATTGGTATTGTTCATCGTCAATCATCATTTCGACAATGTGTTTGACCAATCTGATGAACGGATCGACAAATACACTGGTTCTTCCGACAGTTCCGTGTGAAAAATCAATCCAAAATTCAATCATTGGGTGGAAATTGTCTGTTCCGAAGCAGGACCATGTCAAGTCTTCGAAGTTAAACAGGAATTCGTTAACGGCATCGTCTTCAAACATGTCGGATCTAAATAAATATTTTCCAGCGAGAGGTTGGAAGGCTACGAGCAAAGTAGACACGAATTCGTGGTCTGACTGGCTCAAATCTGTAGTAGATAACTCGTTTTCGAAGAAAGAAAGCGTTGCTCCCAAAATTTGTTGTCTATCTTCAACTTCGAACAAAGTAATGAGGTTTACTCTACCGAAAAGGGTATTTAAACACTTATGAGCTGCGCACGCAACAGCAAGAGGCTGTTCTGATGAAGAAAAATTGATATATATGGAAATAATTCCAGGAATCTGGGCGTAAAACGCTGGATTAGTGCAAGACATAAATGAGTCGATCATTAAGAATACTTGAATTATAATTTCTTGAGTTGCATTTGAATCCGTCAAAATTTGGACTGTAGATTCGCAAATATCAGGTATTATGTTGTAGAAAGCTGTTTTTGTTTCAGCTGAAGTCTTGCTGGACACGACATGATCAAAAGCGTGTAAATCTTCAGCAAAATATTGAAAAATTCGAAGAAAGTAAAAGATATAGTTATAGTTAGTTATATTTTCGCCGAAATTCTGGATCCAGAAGATGCCTTCGTGCTGGAAATCGACTTTCATTGAGAGAGAAATAAGTTTCAAAACTAAGTTCGAATTGCTTTCATCCAGTTGCGTAATCGGGCCTGTAATGTAGCTAAGTAAGAACGATCTTATTTGCTGTTTAATCTCTTCTGTAAAGACAGAAGCCGTTGGATCTGGGTCTAATGAGTGAGGAACCCAGTACATGGTGATTAAATGCTCAAGGATGTTAACAGCAAACCAACAGACCTTCAAATCTGACGATGTTGACATCAATTGAAGAGATAAATGATAATTTTGAGGATCATTTTTCATTTGGTTAATTAATTCTTGAACTTCCTTGAGTACTTCCTCATCTGATGACTGTGTGTTCATTTGCATAATCAACTGGACCGCTTGGGAGGCATCTAGCGATCCTTTATTCATTTTTGAGGTGAAATGTCAAAATTTAGAGGGCTTTATGATCGAAGTTTACGAAAATTTTATCCATTCAATTGGGATCCACCGTACGACGGTCCTATTGCCTTTTCTACGATTGTGGTATTTTTGTAAATTATGCATTCAAGTGATGTAATTGATGGAATCCGATAAGAAAGAAGAGATAATGCTGGACATTTTTGTGAAAACTGTAACTACAACAGCATAAGGATCCGATCCGATATGATTAGATTCGAATCGATAAACATTCTAATTTTTCATTTCGGTTGAAAGTTACAAGCTCTCAATTTTCGTCCCTTTTGTACGTTTATTATAATTGTAGCATATTGTCATCAAGCACGCGACTAACCAGCAAAGACGTGTCCTCTAATTCCGTCCCTAGTTCAAGAATCTGGAACTATTTAAGCAAAAACATTCGATTTCAAAATCAAGCATTCTTTATTCAACGAGTAAAACATTAAAGTATGATTTGTCATACACGGAATAATGACAAGCTCTTAGAGTATGTTTAGTACAGAGTTACTGCCAACTTGAGTTCTTGAATTTGGTAAGTTAGAACAAAAGAAGCCATATGTCGCATCTAAGGACTTGTACTTATCAGAGTATTACTAAATGTTTAAGAATGTTAGTTATTCGTCCCAAACTCGTACGTTTCCACGCGAATCTTGATAATAAATATACTATTTTGGACTTTTTGCAATAAATCTCTTTTTACCACATTAGCATATCTGTGTGTATGCTACTTAACCTCTTTAGAGACCATTAAGATAATGTTTTTTGATACTTTTTCAAGACTATGCCATAAAGTAAACGAATAATTTACAAAATGATATTAAAAAATTTAATTTTATTATGCTTTTATAAATATTGAGACTTTTTAGGACTATTTTAAAAATGTAAATAGATCAATCATTTTAATATTAGATAAGATAATCTAAAGACGTCAGATGTTTCAATAACTTCAGATCAATGACTAATATGAAATTTAAGATTTGTGTTAATTTAAGAATTAACAATGGAATCTGGTTTAGAAAGATGGAAAGCATAGAGATTTGAGAGAGAATATGACTCACAGTTTGAGTGACAATATGACTTAGAGTTTGAGTGACAGTATGAACAACAGTTTGGGTGATAGTATGAACTACAGTATGACTGAGAATATGACTGACGGTTTGACAGACACTTTGACTTACGGTTTTAGTTAGAATAAGACTGACAGTTTGAGTGACAATATAACTGACGGTTTGACAGCCTCTATGACTTACGGTTTTATTTAGAATATGATTGAGAGTTTGGGTGACAATATGACTCATAGTTTAAGAGAGTGTATGACTGATGGTTTTAGTGAGAATAAGACTGACAGTTTGGGTGACAATATGACTGTTGATTTGAGTGAGTGTATGACTGACAATTTGAGTGACAATATGACTTCGGTTTGACAGACACTATGAATTAGCTTTTTAGTTAGAATAAGACTGACAGTTTGAGTGACAATATGACTGACGGTTTGACAGCCTCTATGACTTAAGGTTTTATTTAGAATATGACTGAGAGTGTGAGCGACAATATGACTGTTGATTTGAGTGAGTGTATGACTGACAATTTGAGTGACAATATGACTTCGGTTTGACAGACACTATGAATTAGCTTTTTAGTTAGAATAAGACTGACAGTTTGAGTGACAATATGACTGACGGTTTGACTGACAATATGACTGTTGATTTGAGTGAGTGTATGATTGAGAGTTTGGGTGACAATATGACTCATAGTTTAAGAGAGTGTATGACTGATGGTTTTAGTGAGAATAAGACTGATAGTTTGACTGACAATAAGACTGACGGTTTGACTGACAATATGACTGAGAGTGTGAGCGACAATATGACTGTTGATTTGAGTGAGTGTATGACTGACAATTTGAGTGACAATATGACTGACGGTTTGACACACACTATGAATTAGCTTTTTATTGAGAGTAAGACTGACGGTTTGACCGACAGTATGACTGACGGTTTTATTTAGAATATAACTGAGAGTTTGGGTGACAATATGACTCATAGTTTAAGAGAGTGTATGACTGATGGTTTTAGTGAGAATAAGACTGATAGTTTGAGTGACAACATGACTGACGTTTTGACTGACAATATGAGTGACGGCTTTAGTTAGAATATGACTTAGAGTTTAGCTGACAATTGGCTGACAGTTTGAGTGACAATATGACTGAGAGTTTGACTGACAATATGACTGACGGTTTGAGTGAGTGTATGAATGAGAATATAACTGACGTTTTGACTAACAATATGACTGACGGTTTGACATCGAAATTCATTCATATATATGTATTGATCAATGCAATCACCCTATTTAATATTATTTATCAATTAATTTTTCATTACTACATGCTCTCAATTATTATGACATTAATATTTATCAATAAATATTTCATTACTATATGCTCCCACCCAATTTGACATTATTGTTCTTTGACAAATTTTTCTTTATTAAAGACACTCTCACAAATTCATATCAATATATTTTAATTATCACCTATTCCAATCCATTTTCATATTCATATTCTTATTGAGTTAGAATAAATTGAGGATGACTGAGAATCAAATTATAATTAGTGAGAATCAATTGAAGAATACTGGGAGTTAATTAAGGTTGTTTAAGAATAAATTGTGAATAAGTGACAATCAATTGAGGATGAGTGAGAATCATTTGATTATTAGTGAGATTCAACTGAACATCAGTGAGAATCAATTGAATAATACTAAGAAGAAATTGAGGAAGAGTGAGAATCACTTGATTCTTAGCGAGAATCAATTAAGGATGAGTAAGAATCAATTAATAAGTAGTGAGAATCAATTTAGGGTGACTGAGAATCAATTGATTCTTAGTGAGAATCTATTGATAATTAATGCGAATCAATTGATTATTTGTGAGAATCAATTGATCAGTAGTGAGGATCAATTGATTATTTGTGAGAATCAATTGAAGATGAGTAAGAGTCAATTGAGGATGAATATGTGTCTATTCTGATATGACTTAGTATCTACTGAGGCTAGATGCTAACATCTTACTTTTATGATCATAATTTTTCAACTCCATTAATATTTATAACAATATTTTGATTACTATTTAAATAATTTTATCAAATGATAATTATTAACATATATTAAGAGTATGTTTAATTTTCAACATACTCTTAAAAATCCGAAATTTTTAAAAAGTGACAATTTTTTTAATGCTAAACCATCTTCATCTACCATTAAATGTTTCGGATGATTTGATTTTAATTCAGTTGGGTTCTATTAGATGTAATAGTGTAAATTCTGATTCAACAATTTATATTATTCTTCCAATAAACCCTATCAAAAAGAATGGTATACAAATAAAATAACTTATCAAGATGGTAAACCTAAATTCACTGTTTTGGATTCATTATCAAATGCATATGTCGGAGATTCACCATCATATCCTTGGGGACAAATCGTTTCAAAAATCAAAGAATTAAACAGAAATATTAAGAATGTATATAATTTTGGACATAAATTATTTGGATTTGAAAATAAATCTATCATTTGTTATTTGGAGGAACTCAAAGAGCGTTTTATCTCGAATAGCGATGAAGTAAAGTATCTTCAAACATATGAAACAACACCTAAATTTCAGAAATCCGCTGAAGCTTTTACAGAAATGGTAAATATGATTATAAGTGAAAAATATTTGCAAACAGATCTCAGTCAAATTAAAATCAAAATCCATCGTCTAGGGGAACAATATATTCTTAAATTTTTAGAAGCATTTATAATTGCCCGCCCCAAATTTTATGCACAGGTTATAGGTTTCTTACAAAATTTTTCATTTGACCAGGAATTATACTCAAAAGCAGGAATTTCTAAACCATTAATACAAGCAATAATTAATGGCGATAAAAGATATTCGAATATTTTTGCTTTTTCAGGAAAATCGTGTGATTTAACAATCGAAGATTTTATTAATGTTTTAATTTCAGATCAAACAAATCAAAATGGTGAAGAATATTATCAAATACGTATCAGATCTATATTGGATAATAGTAAATATTCTTTCTATGAACTAGCAGTTAAATTTGAATCAATTAATATTTTAAATTCGTGTAATATAGATAATGTTACACCAATCATGAAAGCATTGATAATGTCAAGCCCAAACGAAACAATTTTCAAAATGAATGATAAATTCAATTTGCAGACTTATCAATTTACAAACCAAATCAAGTATGTTTTATCTTTTGCATACAATATCTCAGAGTTATTTTCTACATTTAGAAATCCATTACTCTCTTCGATTGTTTCAACAAATAATATTATATCAGTAATGAATTTGAATGAAAGCAAAGTTATTCGTTTAAAGATTCATTTAATCTTCCATGAGGCCCTAATTCAAAATAATGATTTTATGTACAAGAACTTTAATGTTTTGAATCAAATAAAAAACAATGACCTTCTGGAAATTTTAGCAAAAGCTTGTTTGAAAGCTGACAAAAAAATTCAAGCAGATTTTGAACAAATCATGGGTATTAAATTTACAGCGATCAAACAATTTCATGAATCCATAGAAAAAATTCCAGTTGATCGGTCTCCAATTACAATAGATGGTTGCCATATTTGTTTTGAATGCTCTAAAAATACTGATATTGAAAAACTCAAATCAATGCAATTAATTCTAATAAGCCCTGGTATTCATATCAATGTGTTAACTTATGAACAAACATTGAAGTTTTTGGAACAAATGCCAGCATTTATTCATTTGGGCCTTTCCAATATAAGTTCTGATCGATCTGTAAACTTAAATTATTTTCTACTTCAAAACGAAGATTATTCCCCTTTAAAAATTTCTACAGATAATTATTATTACTTTAAGATCACATTGTATGACAAAATCGTATCCTTTGAATATTCAAAAGTATCAGATACGTTGTGGATGATTACTGTACCAAAAAACATGAAAAACATAAAATTACCCAAAGAGTTTTCAGGGAGGTTAAAATGGTACATTCAAATAACGAAAGTTGATCTCCCAGGACATCCTCTGCAAGATGAAATACAGGAAAAAATAAAGCATGATAATGAGATTGGTGATATCTTAACTTCATATCCCGGGAAATTTTATGTAAATTATAGCACAACGATAAGAAGTGATAGTTTATTCGTCAATGGAAATCCTATAGAATTTCTTATATATATTCCAAGCGAATCAGGAAATTTGGCGTTGGAGTGTAATTTAATTCACTTAGATGCTACTTTTTCATGGCCGAAATATATATTTATTTTTCCTCGTGGTAATTACTATATGCGAGGTTACCCTCTAGGGATATACATAGGGCGCAGCGAATCATCCGCTGCTTATCAACAGTGGCTTACAGCCATGAATATTGAATTTAAATCATTAAACATTATGGAGCACTTTTCAAGAATCAAATGGATGAGCGATTTATGTACTGGAGTTTTAAAATTTTTGAATACGAATCATTTCCAAAATTATATCTGTATTAGGCACTATCTCGGAACCATGGGCAATAATACTTTACTACATGTTTTTGCTCTGATAGTATTATTATCAAAATCGGCCCAAGATTTTGAGGACAATTACAAATGTTTTGATCCATCGGTTCAGAAAATGTATGCTACAAAGAATATATCAGATGAGCAGCTGGAAAAATGGAAGCAGATATATAAAGATCAAGAGCATTTAGCAGTAGGGATGCGACAGTTTTACGCCATGGCCGTTTAAAAATAGAATAATACGCCATTTTTGGGGCCGAATGGCGGGTACGAAGTAGCCGCCATTCGGACGAATAACAAAACAATACAAAATTATCGCCGTCCTTTTTTTCTTTCTTTCTCTTTTTTTTCTCTCTCTCTCTTTCTTTTCTCTTTCCTCTTTTTACTCCTCTTTCTCTTTTCATCATTAAACGTAGAAAGATATATTAATATTATTTTAAAATTAAAAAAAAATAAAGAAAGTATAATAAGTAATTATTTAGTTATCGATATATATATGTGTAAAGTGATAATCTGAGGAGGAGTCTGAGGATTAGACCGAGGAGTAGTCTGAGGAGTTTGATGATAATCTGAGGAGTTTGAGGAGTAGTCTGAGGAGTAGTCTGAGGAGTTTGAGGATAATCTGAGGAGTTTGAGGAGTAGTCTGAGGAGTTTGAGGAGTAGTCTGAGGAGTAGTTTGAGGAGTTTGAGGAGTAGTCTGAGGAGTTTGAGGATAATCTGAGGAGTTTGAGGAGTAGTCTGAGGCGGAGTCTGAGGATAATCTGAGGAGTTTGAGGAGTAGTCTGAGGCGGAGTCTGAGGATAATCTGAGGAGTTTGAGGAGTAGTCTGAGGAGGAGTCTGAGGATAATCTGAGGAGGAGTTTGAGGATAATCTGAGGAGGAGTTTGAGGATAATCTGAGGAGGAGTTTGAGGATAATCTGAGGAGGAGTCTGAGGATAATCTGAGGAGGAGTTTGAGGATAATCTGAGGAGGAGTTTGAGGATTAGACCGAGGAGTAGTCTGAGGAGTTTGAGGATAATCTGAGGAGGAGTCTGAAGATTAGACCGAGGAGTAGTTTGAGGAGTAGTCTGAGGAGTAGTCTGAGGAGTTTGAGGATAATCTGAGCATAATCTGAGGAGGAGTCTGAGGATTAGACTGAGGAGTTTGAGGAGTAGTCTGAGGATAATCTGAGGAGTTTGAGGATAATCTGAGCATAATCTGAGGAGGAGTCTGAGGATTAGACCGAGGAGTAGTTTGAGGATAATCTGAGGAGGAGTCTGAGGATTAGACTGAGGAGTAGTTTGAGGATAATCTGAGGAGTAGTTTCAGGAGTAGTCTGAGGACTAGTCTCAGGACTAGTCTGATGAGGAGGACTCTAAGGAGTAGTCTGAAGAGTAGTCTCAGGAGGAAGATCTGAGGAGGAGTCTTATGAGGAAGATCTGAGGAGTAGTCTGATGAGGAGGGGTCTAAGGAGTAGTCTGAGGATGATAAGTAATCTGATAAGGAGTAGTCTGAGGATGATCTGAGGATAACCTGATGACTAGTCTAGGAGTGGTCTAATAAAAATGTAAAATATTTTCAAAGAAAAAATTCTATGAATTTTATATTTTAATTCTTAGCATTATACTGAATAAAATAAACATAAATATCAAAATTTGAAATTGAACACGCCAAAAAATTGATAATCCACATTCAATATTTTGTAAGTGGCGTACTTTTTGAATACTCGCCATACGCCTTGGAGTTCTCAATTTTGAATTCACCTTTATTTGGGCGACCTCAGAAAAATACGCCATTAAGAAAATATTGTATGAGATTTTAAATTTGAACACGCTCTACCTTAAGGAATTAAATTTATTAAGATATATTTATATATAATAAACGATTACTTAAAAAAAGTATTTCATCGCTTATGTAAGTTTCAAAAAAATCACGAAAATAAAAAAATCAAGATTAAAATTTTATTTTTAATTTTTGAATTTCTCAAATGGCGAAATTTTTGGGCGAACAAAAAAAATGTACGCCCGGTCAAATGGCGTGTTTAACGCATCCCTATTTAGCAGCATACCACCGCATTCCACCTATAAGCACTAATAATAGTGCAGAGGGTAAGCATAGACACATTAACGAACTTGCAAAAAAAGCAAGAAACTTTTCTACTTTCATCAAATTCATTCTGAATGATACTATCATTAGGATTAATGAATCAATTGATCCCATTAATAAGCAAAAACGCGAGAAGAATGACTTGTTAAACGAAAAATGCATACATTGCGGATTCTCCTATAATGATATTAATACTGATAAGAATCCTTGTAAATATTGCAAGGATTTCTTTATGAATAAGAGTCATGTTCCCTCTGCAGGCATACATGTTATGAAAATAGGAGAAAACGTAGGTGAAATCATAGAATTCCCAATCGATAAAAATGTAGGTGCTCAGGATGAACTCGTGGATCACAAAGAAAAGAGTTCGCCGATCGAAATATCAAAATACGCAGAATTTATTGATATTGACGATAAAAATAAAGCAGTTTTAGTCGTAAAACTGCTTTATAATCTTGAAACGTTCCAAGATGCCAAAGATTTAATCAATTCTCTGGAAAAACAATCAAAAAATTATGAATCTGCATTACAAAATAAACCAGAAATTTGGTTGGAAAAATACTTGCCTGAATTAATGAAGGAAGTAAAAGATGCGAGAGCTGCTAGAATGAGATTGAAGATAATAAAGAAGTAGAGATGATGAGTGAATAAAAACTTTGTATTAAATTTGTATAGGGTGTCCAAAGGTGCGTTTAGCACAGCGCTCTATATGAGACTATTAAAGGAGATATATGCTGATTATAAATATATAATAAAAAATATGAATATATGTATATGATGAGTATGTTGTATTTTGGCGCCATGCCGGGATATAAAATGAATTTTGAGACAAGAGGCGGTTTCGCGGGAAATTTTGGCGGGATTTTTTTCATTTTTTTAATGAATCATAAAGAAAACATCCTCGCTCTTGCAAAAAAATGCAAAGACTGTAAAAAATCTACGAGACATTGGTAAAATGCTTCGGTATGGATGCTCCTAGCTATTCCACTGTAACGTATCATGTTAGGATGTATCACTTCATGAACAAAAAGGCGCCCATCATAAAAATTGACAAAAAATCGCCGGATCAAAGAAAAATCAAAGCAATTCTTCAAGCGCTAGATGAAGACCCAAGAGCATCACTCAGAAGGATAGAGGAGATGACAAAGATACCACGTACAACAGTCAGTTATTATCTGCACAATTATTTGAACTACAAACTAGCGTATACACGTTGGGTTCCGCACAACCTTAATTCAGTTCAAAAAAAATCTAGAGTCCAATCTTCGAAAGAGCTCCTCTCTATATTGGGTGCGTATCAATCCAAGAAGTTTCGCTTTTTAGTAACAGGGGACGAGTCATGGTTTCAATATGCAACAGAAGCCAAAATCATGTGGATCCCGAAGGATGAAAATCCGCAAACATTCCCGAAGAAAAAAATTGACACACCAATGATGATGTTGTCGGTTTTTTGGGGCGTGAATGGCATCATCGCAATTGATATTCTTCAAAAACCTAATACGATGAATGCTCAGTATCTAATTGACAATGTTCTTACTCAAATTATCAATTCTGATGAGTTTGAGAAATCCAAACAACAAAAACAAAAGTTTGCAATTCATTTTGATAATTCAAGAGTTCACAAAAGTCATAAGGTAATGAATTAATTGGTGGAAAACAATGTCAAAGTTGTTCCAAACCCAATTTATTCACCTGATATTGCACCCTCTGACTTTTATTTATTCGGCACGCTAAAAAAGAGAGCTGAAGGACGCGAATTCGCGAGTCCAGATGATCTTGAAAATTTTGTAAGAGAGCAATTTGAGCAATTTTCTCATGATGATTTAAAGCGTGTCTTTCAAGCCTGGATCGATCGCTGCGAACGCGTGATTGAATCCAATGGTGATTATATTTAAATAAACTTTATATATATGTAACTTGTTTATTTCTATTCGCAGTATTCAGGTTTGTGCTAAACACACCTTTGGACACCCTATATATAAAGTCTTTTCAGGGGGGTTATACCGTGATATTAGCCTTGTACCGAAAAAAGTGACGGGCAATGCCGTAAAATAATATTTTATTAAAAAATTTGGTGGAGAATTGGAAAATTTTTGTTGGAAAATTGGAAAATTTTCCTAATCATTTGGACTATAACCTGGCATATTAGGGAGTTTTGCCAACAACTCAGTGCTTGGATCAAGATAGTTTGTAATCCAAAAGTAGAAACGTTCCTTGGTGTCTTGTTCTGGCTTCCTGCAAAATCTGTGATTTGCAGGATTCTTCTTAATATTGTCAGAAATTGCGCAAATCATGTCCATCGTCGTCAATTCTTCACCATTGATGTTAAAACGATTTCGATTACGGTAATTTCTTTTCTCTTGCAATTCTTTTTCTGCAGGAGTCAATTCACGAACATACTTATTATGTTTGAGAGCTTCTACAGAACAAGGGCAAAGACCGCAGGCGGCAGCAGCATTTTGAACCGTTCTTAATGATACTGATTCTTGCCATGCGCTAATAAATGAGTAGATAATGGCGTAGCGCATCATTGCAGCATTGCTGTTGAACTCTTGCTTCGGTGCCTTAATGTAATCTCTCAGATAATCCGTGAATTTGGACTTTAATCTTTTGGCAATGCCAACATCAAATACTTGTAAAATGTGTGTTGTATGTGCGGGAAGAACAATTAATTTGATGTTGGCACTTGCCAAAAGGAACAATGCCAGAGGATTCTCGCGGCTGGAGTGTCCATCACACACAATGTGAGCAGGCTTGTCACGTATATCTTCAGGCATTCTCTGGCGTTCAAAGTTAAGCCACTCGATGAAGAAAATGCAATACAATAAGAATACACTTCTGTTCACCCAGCCTTTTGGCGTAGAAGTAAACCAACAATGTCTTTCGCGCTGGAATACTTTCAGTTCTCTAGGTAGTTCTGCAATACATGGGAGAACAAAGAGAGGTGGGACAGATTTGCCTGTCATTGAGCATCCGCATAAAGCTGTAATGTGCGGAAAGTTTGGAATTCCTTTGGCGATCATATGCTCTATCTCCTCAGGTAATGCAACTTTCTTCTTCTTAAATTTGTTTATGAATGTTTCATCGATACTAAAAATCAACTCCTCTGGAGTACTTTCGATTGTTTCACGATGTTTATCGTAGAATTCTTCGATAATTCTTGGTTCACACGCCATGTATCTTGATTCTTCAATCTCTTGGCATGCCTTAAGCTTGCAATGCAATTGCTGTAAAATATGGTTAACATAAGGTCTCGATACATCATCACCACCAAGAGTATTGATAACTTCTTCTGCAAGAGTAGGACAATTAATCTCAAGAAGGAATCTGTAACCATAATCTCTTCTGAGCTCTTTCAACTTGAACGCCTCGTCAATAATGTCAGCTGCTTCTAGAGCTTCACCTTTGTAAGCAGAATCTTCGATAATTTCTTTTAAAGTGAGCTGATCACGCTCGCATAGGTATGGATCTGCACCGCCATGATTCCCTTTTTCCCAGTATAGACCTAATGCAGCTCTTTTAAGTGCAGTAGCAATGAGATTGGATGTTAAAGTTCCGAGATCTGGGTATTCTTCCTCCCATGCAAGCTTAGTTTGACTATATGTCATACCTTCGGCGTGACAATTGATGATAAACTTTTGTTGTCTACCAAGAAATTCGACTGTGAGAAATTCCATTTTTAATTTTAAACGAGCACTTGAGCCACGTTTTATCTGACTTCACCAGCCAAAAAGCCCCTGTACTAAGTGTCATGTTTTTGTTTATTTTAAAGTTTCTGCCATGTAATGGTTTACATTGCAAATTTTTTGAATACTTTACATCACCATAAAATGGCAGTACAAGGCTAGTTTATCGGTACAAGGCTCTTGAAATGACTTTAAGAGAATTGTAAAATATAAAAATAAAGAAGTGGTTGATAGGAATTTGAAAATTCGTTGGGTGCATATAAGTTTGATAAATATATTTATGAATATTAATGTCAAATTGGGTGGTTGCGTGATAGAATGCTTCTGTGTATGTGTGGCGTGAGTTAGCATCGGGTGGTTTCATCACAAATTTTAACCTATCCAAATCTTATTAATTATTAAAATTCTTTTACAATTTCTGATGTATTTTTTGAAAACATTTCATATGCAATATTTCTCCTTTTCTTTCCTCAAATCTTCAAATATTAATAACTTTGGATATGAAATTATTTGGATCTTTTATGAATTTTAAATGTCTTTCTTAATATCAAATCGATTAAATTATTAATATTTTCTAAATTATGCCTTAAAAATCCAAATATAAAAAATCGTAAATAAAAAATATATTTTTTATTTTGTAAATAATCCGTTTACTAAATGGGACTGTATCATGAAAGTAACAAAAATCATTATTTAACAAGATTCAAAACTGGTGCAACGAAATGCACATTGATTTTGTAGTGTAACAAAGAGAGATTTATTGTAAAAAGTACAAAATAGTATATTTATTATCGTGATTAGCGTAGAAATGTATGAGTTTGGGACGGATTTCTGGTGCATTCATAACTAAAGTGATACATTGTCTGGAGCAAGTTCAGATCTTTAACTTATGGCTTGTTTGGTGCTAACTCACCCAATTTAAGTGCACTAGAGGGGATTTTGTCTGTAATGAGCATGCACCTTGAGTTGTTGCTTGGTCCGTGTACGAAAGATAGTAATTTAATACTATACTCGATTAAATGTGAATTTCTAATTTTGAATTTGCGTTTTTTCCTGAAAATAGTTACAATATATGAAAGAGTTGGCAAAACTAGAGGACACGTCTTTAAGGGTTTGGCTCGTGCTTCATGTTAATATGCCGAAACTAAAATAAACGTATATTGGGGGTCGAAAATTGAGAGCTCATATCTTTAAGTGTTTTCATTTCTTATTTACATATAAAATCAGATTGAATATCTAATGTTGTTATCTCAATTCAAATGGAAAGTCCATTCTCTTTTGTATTGAATGGAAAATCTTTGAATGACTCTAAAATTTACATAATCAAACAGCGATTCAATCAATATTCTGTGGTAATAATCCATTACTATGAATGGAAATGAAGAACTTCACTTTCTTTTTAATAAACTATGGACCAATAAGTATATTTTTTTTCAATTTGAGTAAAAATTCGTTTTGAAGACCAAAACATAATTGACTATCATAGTGTTGATTAATTGCTCTGATATTGATATCTATTTAGCAAGTTAAAAATTCCAAAAAAAATTTCAAAATTTCAAAAATCAAATCAAAAATTACATTTTTCACTTCAAAATTCTAAATTTGAAAAAATTTTGGAAAATAAAACACTATTATTTTACGAAATAAATACGATTTTCCGGCAAAAATCTTTGAGTTAATGATTATTTTTATAATATAGATTTCATATTTGAGAGGTTATGGGCTGAAATCTTCTAAAAACAATGCATATAGTTCAATAATAAAAATAATTCAAAACATTTTATAAAAAATATAAAAATAAAAAAAAAAGGAAAATTTCATCGATTAAATGAAACTCTCCTTTGGTCTGAATATTTCTAAATTAATAGCAACTGAACCAATAGGTCCGTAGAGGGGAGCCATGTTGAGTCTTCCGTTTCCGATGTAAATCCTTGCGATCGGAGATTCGGAGTTGCTGTTTGCTGCATGATATTTCATTGTTTTGATTGTAAGGGTTATTATGTGGATGAGGTGAAGACAGCCATTGATGTCGACGGTTTTGAAACATCCGGCCATTTCTTGTAATTCGTCCTTCTTTTTCTTCTTTTTGTTGGTAATTATGTCAATGGCCATATCAAAAACCCTGTCATGGCCACCCATTGAATGGTCGGTCAATCCGATTTCGATCGGAATCTTTCTGCTCTTATCTACAGCATCATCGAGCTCCCTGACAACCTTGAGGCTTGATGCAAGCATAGCAGATGCAGTAAGCAATGCAGCAAGTCCGTAATTGGCTGTAAATTCATCTGTAATCTGTTCTGTACGTAAAATTTTAATGGCGAACTGAATAGAGCGCCTCCAGTACTCTATTTCGATATCAATCGCTTGCTTATTATCAGCAGCTCGCTTGGCGTAGTACTTTTCCATAATTTCCGATAAATAATTTACGTTCTGTATATCGTAATCAATAGGAGGCATTCCGTAATCGAGGTACGAAAAGTCGGTATTTTGCTTCGTTGGCTTCTTGTATTGAGCACGAGTTGGAGGTAATTTTTTCTCGAGGGTTTTTGACCAATTTGGCTTAAATTGTAAACGGCGGACGCCAAGGTTGATGGCTCTCTGTTGCAACATATCCAAAATTGGTGCTGAAATCTGATCGTAGTATAGTTTCATGAGTTTTAATAGCAACCTTCCGTTTTTTCCAAAACATGCTGTCAATTCATCACCTGTATCGCTTGCTGTTAAGATGTAACCCCATCCGTATTCCAAGATGTGGCGTCTGACGTTTTCATTTAAAGCAATCTCAACATCTGTAGCGGCATGAGTATCTTCTACACCTTCCAACTCGTTAGATACCTGCTGAATGATGTGAGGACGTCCATTAGCTGATGTACGCTGTTCGACCGCAACGTAATTATTATTCAGTAATTTGTTGACTTCTGGCTCACATCCAGTACACGATGGGATGCCAAGTGGATAAAGTTTCTTTGTATAGCTCTGATGAGTTTCTTTATCCAACACACCATTTGCCAACGAATTTGAGATGAAACTGAATGTTAATGGTATTGGTTCTGGTATGCGATAATCGAGGCGATCGACAAGCTGACGAGCTTCATCAATAGAAATTTTATTTAAGCGTAATGCAGCGCAAATAACATCTAATGGCCTCGTGAAGTTACTTAACTGCGAACAAAATTCTTCCACGCATGTTTTTTCGCGTACGATAGAGAATTTTGCAACATCATGCGATCTTTCTTTTGGTTTTTGAATTGGCGCAATTTTTATGGGTATACGGAAGTTTCGAGTGTTTTTTAAGTTCTTATTTGCTTTACACTGTTGAAAGGGTATTTGGGCGATGTTATTTTGGTTAGTTATAAAATTAATATATTTATATATTGGACATTTAGATTTAATCATAATACGTAATTTTGTGGTTAAATCAATATCCTTCCTTGATTCTTTTAATGTAGCAACCATATCATCCCTTAATTCCTTACTATAGGGAATGTTAATTAAGTTGCGATTTATCATTGAAATTAATAATGTAAACATTTCAATTTATTGAATTTGAAATGGTGAAATACATGATCTTTTGATCCTTATATTAGAATGGCTATTATAATACTGCATTACTATAGAGCGTGTAAATGAATAAGTATTCTTTGATCAGTCTAATTTTCAAATTTTTCACATTTTTTGAAATATTCAGGGAACTACTCTCATTCTACCAAAATTGAGGAGAGTTACCATTGACAAAGTTATGGATGATTTTTCAAACATATTAATTTAATACGAATTAATTATTCATAGTATTAGCAAAGATTAACTAAAAGATATGAGTAGCCTCTAGATAATTAAGTGATTTCTCAAAGCATTGATTTTTTAAAGCATGGTTGGATATCGATATATCTGCAATATCAGTAACAAAGCTTGCAATCATAAATAATCGTTTTATCTATATAATACTATTTAGCTTTTCTATGAAACTGTTCATTTTATATCGAGATATCTCATTTTGAATGTTCCAATATCCATATGTTGATCACGATCAGCAAATGATGGCTCAACAACCACCACAGCCATGGATTGCTGACCAAAATTTTCCTCAAATAAGGGTCGACGAGCTTACAGAAAAATGCAAAGCATTAGTTGCAGAATATAACAGACTCTTAAAAGAAAATCAAGAGATTAAGGATAATCTAGAAAACCAAGAAAAGAAAAAGAAAATCCTTTCTATCCATGAATATTTTTTGATGGAAATGGAAAAGGTTAACCTCAGCATTCAAACATATAAAGATGCATTAAATCAATTAGAAGAATTCGCTCAAATAACTCAAGAAGCAATTGGAGCTCCAATTCCAGAATAATAATTTTTTTATTCCTATTTATCGGTCAATGCTACAATCTTACTGTTTTGCATCTGGGATATTAACAGTATGCTCATTCTTAATTTCGTTTGTTAATATTTATTACGAACATATCTCTTTTAGAGATATCTGTCTTTTTTAATACCAAAAACCTATCAGAATCTTGTTTTTATTACACTCCATATACTAAAAATAGACATTTCTTGTATACTTTCCAATACTTATATTTGTATTTTCATTTTCACATCGAGTTATAGCACCAAGCTATTACTTTATCGAAGACACGATTCTGAACCTATTAAAATTCATGTCCAACATTATCGTGAATTCGAAATGGACCCAAAATACTGATGATAGACCCCCTTTACACCGAATACACAAAATGTTGGAAATCAGTTTTTTATGCATGCACCACAATGTATATTATGTTTTCATCATCAAATTGATTTTTGAAAAAACATCATCAAAAATTTCAGAAAAAACTTCCCCAAATAAAGCGAATACATCTCAAATTATATATTAAATTTATAGAATAATTCTACAGATAATTGAATTGATCGAGATTTTATCCGGCCAGCAAAGTACACAAAAAAACGACAATTCCAAGTCCCTCTGAGCAGGGATCTATAATAAATTCGCTCAATTCGAAACTTGGAACAGATAAATATTTATCTATTGCGTGCCCCATCGACAAATCATGGTATAATAAATGGAAAAACTCGATTCAAAATTCAAATGATGCAAAAGAACAGAAATTGGATCAAATTTCAAATTCAAGAATAATGCCTAATGGTTCCTTACCACAAAACTACTCTAAAGACATGGTTGAAATGATAACTTTAGAAGCATATCAAAAATTAAGAGAGTGGTTTGGCGGCGATTCCCCGCAAATATACCCGATTAGAAAAAATGGCGGCCAACAGACATTCAAAGTAGATAAAATTACCATTAAAGTTGAATACAATGGCGAAACAAAAGATATTTATCTTTGGGATAGAGACCAGGGAGCGAAATTTATCAAGGAAGTCAGACTTACTTTTGGAATTAAATCGAAACCAAGCATCATACGCATTGATTCATCAGGAGCCAAAAATGTTGTTAAAGATAGCGATTCAGTTATGACACTGAAGTCCAATACAAAGAAAATCTTCGTTGATTACATGATAAATGGCAAATTAGCTAGCGATATCCAAAATGAAGTCACAAAAATTTCGAAACAAAATGAGAAAGAAAAAGAGCAGTCAGAAGAGAAAAAGACCGAAGTAATGCAAAAGAAGAAAGAAGAGGATAAGACTGTTCAACAAAATTTCCGTGTTCCGCCAAATTCTGGAAAATGCGGTTTAATCAACATTGGAAACACTTGCTACTTCAACAGTGGTGTTCAGTGTCTTCTCCATTCATTACCATTGGCCAGACAATTGCTTGGATCGAACTGGCGCTCAGAAATTAACGAAAATAATCCTTTAGGAGCCAAAGGATACTTAGTGAAGGCTTTTGCAAGGCTAAACTCCAGAGTATGGTCGGCCCAAGAGTCAGCGATCAATCCAAGTGACTTAAAACACGTATTAGGTGATTTTGCTCCCCAATTTCAAGGTTTTGAGCAACAAGACCCTCACGAATTGATCATGTTCCTTCTTGATGGTATCCACGAAGACTTAAATCGTTGTAAAAACAAACCACTCGTTGAGACAATTATTGGCGATGGAACAAACGACGAAAAGACATCATTAGAAGCATGGAAGACACATAAACTTCGTAATGATAGTATTATTGTCGATAATTTCCATGGACAATTACGTTCTCGCTGCATTTGTCCAAAATGCCACTCAACTACTGTTGTTTTTGATCCATTTGTAGCTTTATCATTACCAATACGACCAATAAATGAAAAAGTTACAAACGTTTTGTTCATTCCTTATGAATTTTCTGAAAAACACGAATGGATCAGGATAAAATTGCCGAGAGAGTCAAGTGTTAAGAACTACGAGCAAGCAATTAAGTCAATTAAGAATGTTGACGTAGCAATTGCCTTCATTGCCACTACTTTTTCCGGAATTTCTGTTTATTGGGACCCAATTGATGCCAAATATGCAGAAAACCTCACTGCAATCGCTTTAGAACTCCCATCAACTGAACAGAAGTACATTATTTCATATCTTTGTGGTACTTTTAAGTCAGAATTTGCAAATATGTTCTCTGCTGTTGAGAGAACAGAAGACAAACCAGTCATGATGCCTTTCCTCGTACCAATAGACAAGGAAACATCAGATTCCAAGGAAATTTCAGCAGCTGTTTCCGAGAGATTATCTGAATTTTGGAATGAAGGGAAGATTCCGAAGGATTTCGTCATCAAAGATTCAGAACTATCTCAATACCAGCTAAAACAGAAGGTGGCGATGAGATTTTCCTCAACAAATTTTGATGATAATCAAAAAATCAGAGTTAAAGATTATTTCGTCAAAGATTACAAACCATCGAAGTTCTACAGCAACATAGGATCCCAATTATTCACAGCCATCTTCAATGGAAAGTTTATGAATTCAGAAAATCATTTTGACCTCAAACTTTACCTGAAAAACATCGGAATCGACTTCAAGAGGTCACACAAAGGTGACAGAGAAAGTGGCGATGTAAAGTTGGAAGAATGTTTCGATTATTTCAGACAAGAAGAAATTTTAGACGAAAACAACATGTGGTTCTGTCCTAAATGCAGGGAATTCGTCTGTGCAAACAAGAAAATGGACCTCTGGAAGGCTTCCAAATGTTTAATTATCCATCTCAAGCGATTTGAAACGACAGAGACAGGAACTGAGAAAGATGAGAGGGTTGTTCACTTCCCTGATGAACTTGACATCAAGCCTTTCCTTGCAGGACCCGTAGAAGGCAACACAAAATACAGATTATACGCAATTTCAGAGCATTTCGGGTCATTAGGCTTTGGACATTGCACAGCTCACGCTATAGTACCGAATGGAAAGGGAAGAGACTGGTTTTCGTTCAATGACAGCTCAGTTAAAAAAGTTATTCAATCAAACGCTCATACGAATGCAGCATACGTACTTTTTTACGAGCGCATTGACAATGAGGCTGAAGATAATGCTGTTTTGGTTGCGAAACCAAGCTCCTTTTTTCCTGAAAATCAAAACAAGCAAAATCTTCTCAAAAATCAGCCAAATCATAACAACCAAATTAAACCCCAACAGTCTCATGGACAGAATAAGAACAAGAATAATGAAAACAACAAGTACTTTGATCCAAACAATAAACCAGGAATATTCCGCCATCATCAACACAATAAGTTCGACAAATTGAAGAAATTCAGTCATGATCAGAATAATTACCATAACAACAACCATCATAATGACCATCACAACAATAAATTCCATCATAACAAATTTAATAAGTTTAGACATTAATTATACTTTTATAGAATTATAAAAATTGTTTTTTATTACAATACATCTATTTTTAACCATGTTTAAAGGATATTTTCAGTGAAATTTCTAAAAATTTCAATAAGAATTTGAATAAGAATCATTTTAATTTAGTTTATACTCTACAGTTAATGTCCAGATGCTTTTTAACACATACACAATGAACAGTATCTTCTAGTTTTATGAATTTGGGCACATTTCACTTTTTCGACCAAAACAAGTAGATTCAATTGCATTAGGAAGAATATTTTATTATAGCTATATTGCATTCCTTACTTAATTTTTTCTGAAGATAACGATTATTTTAATACGTTACTTTTTCGAGAGTCTGGATAAAAGAAAACATATGAAGACAGTCTATTCATTCAGCGAATATCCGGATTTAGAGAAGCAAGTTAATGGTGCTGATAGTGCTATGACTATCCTCGGTCGTAAGAGTACAGTTTTGGCTCAATTAGCTACACAAGATATTCGAGTTCCACAAAGTTTCACAATTACTACAGAATTTATCGATAAGTTCAACAAACTCAAACTAACTGCAATTCCAAGTCTAACATGGAAATTAATCGTTGATAATATCAAAATTATAGAAGAAAAAACAGGCAGAAAGTTAGGTGACATCAACACACCACTCCTCTTATCAGTTAGAGGTGATGCAACATCTGACCTTTCAGGAATGCTCAACACAGTCTTAAATATCGGTATTAACGATTTAACAGTCCGTGCAATTGCAAATGAGACAAAGAATAGAACATTCGCATATGATACATATGCAAGATTCATTAAATCATACGGAATCGTTGTCAACGGAATTGAACGTGCAAGATTCGATAACGTTACAAAAGAATATATGGCATCACGCGGACTTAAGGCAACTAACGATTTTTCAGATATAGATTGGATCGAAATTACAAAAATATTCAAATCAATTTATCTTAAGCGAAAAGGCATTCCATTCCCACAGGATCCACTGGAACAGCTTAAAGGAGCTTTAGTTTGCGTTATACAATCATTTACATCAGATAAAATAAAGAAATACGCTACTTATTTCAATATGATTAATAATCTCGGATTTTCAGTCCTTGTTCAAGAAATGATCTTCGGAACATCCCAGTGTGACTGCCTCTCAGCTAAAATCTCTACAAGAAACCCAGCAACTGGAGAATCACAATTAGCAGGAAATCTTGCAAATAACGCACTCTGCTGCGACATTGAAGAAGAGTTTGCCAGTTACAAAGATGCCCATACAGCAACTGGCCCAGTACATCGCGATATTACAGATTTTTCAAAGAAGATCGAAACATTCTTCAAAGGACCACAAGAAATCGACTTTGTTTTCGATCCAAACAACTCCTATGTCCTCAACGTTAAGCCACTTTACTTCTCTGGTGCTGCTCGCTTTGCTGCAGTTAGAGATATGGCTAATGAAGGAATGTTGAGCAAAGAAGACACTGTTATGTGTCTTACTCCAGATGATTTGAACGCTCTTTCAGGTTCAGTCATTGAAAAAGAGCCAAAAACAGTTCTTGCATCAGGAATTCCAGCAGGAGCCGGTGTTGTTGGCGGAAAAGCTGTTTTTGATAGCGCTGATATCGCAAAGGCCAAGGATGGAAACTTAATTCTTATCAGAGAGCATATTTCTCCACTTGATTTCGACGATGTTGTCAAATCAGCGGCCGTTGTTACATGTGATGATGCCACAACATCATATGCAGCCAGACTTCTCCGTATGCTCAGAAAGCCAGGCATTCTTGGAGCCAATTTTACGATCGACCAACAGACCAAGACAGCCAAATTCGGCGAAACAGAGGTCAAAGCAGCAGCTTCAGTCACTGTCTCCCACAATGGCAAGCTCTTCAACAAGATCCAGAAGAGTTCAGAGCCAAAAGGAGGAAGTGAAGCGGCCAAAGCCATTCTTGAGTGGGCAGATGAGATCAGAAGTGGCAAAGTATCTGTTGTTGCACCAGTTTCATCTCTTATTGATGTCGAAAATGCCAAGTTGAGCGGATCTGACGGTCTCGCCTTCTTCCCAATGGATTCATTGATCACTGGCAAGCGTATTGATGCAATGAAGATGTTTGTTGAGAAGGGACAAGACAAAGGATTAGCACAGTTAAAGTCAGAGCTCATTTCAGATATCAAACAAATTATTTCTCAACCAAACATCTCAATTATGCTTCTTGATGATCCACTTTCCAAATACCTTTCAGATCCTGTAAAGCTTACAGAAGAAATCTCCGTTCTCAGGGCACAAAAAGAATTCAAGGAGCAAAACGAGGAAGAATTCAAGAAAGAGAAAGAACTTAACGCTAAAATCGCTACACTCGAAGCCGTCAAGCGCCTCAAAGAGTCTAACCCTATGATGGGCACTCGCGGTGTCAAAATGGCCATAGTGAACGATAAAGTATTCAATCTTGAAATTTCTGCAATTTCAGAAGCAGCGAAAGAAGCCGGAGTTTCATCGATCAGCATCTTATTACCAGATGTCACAGATGGCTGCGAAGTTGCAGAGATCAAGAAGATGTCAGCATCTCTTTTAGAAGGACTCGAAGTCAAATGGGGATCATCTGTAGAGAGTGCTCGTGCATGTTTGATGATGGAAACAATTGCAAAGGAATCAGATTTCATTGCAATTTCAACAACAGGTTTGCAACAGACTGTTTACGGTATGTGCAAAGCTGATGCTGAGAAATTGTTTGTCACTGATTACATGACAAGAGGAATTCTCAGAGAAAGCCCATTCAAGTCTGTCGATGAAGATGCAGTTGGAGAATTGATGAAAGAAGCTGCTAAAGACGCTAAAGAAGTTAATCCGAATATTAACATCATCATTTATGGCGAACAATGCAGCATCGCGAAATCAATCAAATACTGCACTTCTATCGGTATTGACAGCATTGCTTGCCCAGCAAGTATGGTTCCAGTTGCTAAATTATGCTGCGCACAATCTGTTATTGCTAACAGAAAGTAATTTATCTATTTTATTTCCAATAATTCATTTTTGTAAACAAAAAATCAAAAAAAGTTGATTAAAATATTTCTTTTTTTTAATATTCTCTGAAGCTACACAATATTCTTATATAATTATTTTATAACATATCAAAATTCTTTATCATTCATTTTGCATATTCTATATATCTCTTTGATTGTTGATGCATTTGACATTGTTGCTATTTAATTTTTTCAAATGTATTTTTATTATTAAGAAAGAATATGATTTAAAGAGGAAATCAATCATAAAACACTTAGTTTAATCAATAAATTGCGTTTCATGAATATATTTATGATTGATTCTATTCTTATAAGAAAATTCTATGTGGTAACACTATTTTATCAAAGAAATTCATTGATCGTAAAATAATACAATTCTCCATAGTTCATTTATAACACGTGACCCAATAAAATTGCTAAATTTTAGTGTATGGTCTAAATTCGCGAATCAATTTCTTTATTTATGACAAATAAACTAGTTAAAATAAAATTTTGTTAAATGCTTTTTATTTATTGCAAATCAATGATCGATATTTGAATAAATTAAAGCAGTTCTGACCTGACAATTCTATGTGCTCAAATTGAATTTGAATAAACTCATAAAAAAAATAAACTTTTTTTTGTAAACTTATATTTATTTTAGCATTTGCATTATGATCCAAAATAACCCCTTGAATTTTGATTGATTCTAAGAAAGTTATCGAATTTTCACGGTTTTTAATATTCTTATTAATCGTAACAATTGGAAGTAATTTCATGAGTATTGTCTATCATCAAATTGAATAGTTTATTTTGATGGTTTTGAAAAATTGTGTAATTTACAAATCAAATCAATTTAGGAAAAACAAGGTGCCTTTTTTATGCGAACAAAGCGCCGTCCATCCCCAGCAAGTAATGCAGAAGTGCGGTTTCAGATCGTAAAAAATGATGTAGAACTGAAAAGAATTAAAAATCTTATATATGATAAACGTATACATCTAGATCCCATTATTTTCAGAGCAAAATTCGATTCTATGGCCCAAAACATTTTCACAGCATATCAACAAGGAGGATACGGATATTGTACCAAATTTGTTGATGAATTGGCTGAATTTAGTTTAGAAACTTCGCCATTTCTAATATGCTGCGACGAAAGCCGTACGCAATACGTTCCTTCTCTATTGGTATCAATGGTGATGCATCCACCTAATAATGAAACTCTTTTTTCTGTCCTTAGATGTTTATCATCGATCACAGTTTACTCGACTTCAAAGAAATTCTCAAAACCACAATTTATTCTCGAACTTCTAGGTCAAATTGCTGAGCCTGTCCAGTTTAACCAAAGCCTTTCGGCGTATTCAAATACAAAGTACAAAACCGATCCTCCTTCATCCTCGAAAATACAACTATACTGCTTAAATATCATCCTTAACCTCATAAAACATGGTGAAATTGAGCCAAGTTCTTTGTTACAATTTGATATCGTCCCACCACTTTTTACGGCCTCAAAAACAGATAGCGCTCCAGAAGCTATGAAATTAATCCAAAATTGGTAAGTTTAGAAGATATAAATCCTGATATGATAAATCTTGCCTACCAAACGTTCCATAATTACTGCAACTCCCCGAAATCCTCATTCCAGATCGCATCCTTTGATGGAATATCAGCAATCGCGATCAATCATCCAGACTTTTTTGATACAGTTGATGTTAGTACTCCGATTGTCGAAGCTTACGATAAAATCAAGAGTGTTGATGACACTGTTGCTATTGCTGCCCTCGCTTTGATCGGTTCTCTTTTGGGAACAGGAAATGATTTAATTATTGGATCAATTTTCTCAATGTTCGATTGGAGCATCCTTACAGAAATATGGAATATCTCATCTAGTGACCAAAAACAAATTATTTGCGAGTTTATCAACACAGCAATTAACGCATCTCCAATTGAACTTTCGAACGCACTTACTAACGGAGTATTTTCGACATTACTTTGCGATTTCCCATCTACAGATTGCAATCTAAAGGCAGAATCGCTCTTACCCGTGATTTCTGCCACAAATATTGATCCGAATGCAATGCTACCAATAATCATTGAAAACGGCCTTATAAAAGTTGCAGGATCAATGATGGAAGCTATCGATGATAGATACATTCAATGCGGACTTCAACTTATCGCTGCATTGATGAATGCTAATTTTAATAACCATGAACTTCAGGAACTGGTCAAACGCGATATCACAGACAATAGCATTGAGTCTGATGTTGAAGCTCTCGCATCTGGAACTCAATACGCAGATATCGCTTCCGAAGTTTCAACAGAACTTAACCATTTTATGGAAGAAGAATAGTATTATTTAGTTGTTTGAATTTTGTGTAAATTATTATTTTATTTATTTTAATATTTTGTGGAAATTTAATGTATCAACTCAGTATAAACTTGAAATCATATTTTTCGCGTGTAAACCTTTCAGATCCCTCGATTTTTGAGAAACAGACGCGCAGAATATATGATTTCAGGTTTATATCATGAGAATCTTCCTTCTATGAGTTCATTCCAGAGAAGACTTTATCCTTCACAACACATACGAGCTATCAATATTGCCTAATTTAATCAGCGTAGAGGCTAGTTTAATTACTTGTAATCTTTAAATCTTTGATGAATCAGTGCTTAATTTGCCAATTTTGTATTTTATGATACATTCATTGAAGTCTATGTTGAGCAAATATATGATTATAATCAACCTTTGTAGAATTAAACTCCATTAATAAGGTGTATACCCGAAAATTTGATATTCATCTATAGGTTGTCAGGAAACCTAGTTAGCATCTCAGGGCCTGAAAATGATAAAAACCTTATTCTTTTTCCCTAATAATCTTTACTAATAATAGGTAATTATATCATATGGGATGATGGATGAAATATAAGTATTGGATGAGATAATAATGATTTAATATATCTAGGAACAATTACATTATCACAGTTATCTATAGATAAATATTGATCATTGAAATGAGTTTAGCATAGATATAATGGTGGGAGTTAAATATAAAAAGTTTGTGGAGCTGTTTATAAAAGAGAAGTTATCATATTGGTTGTTTATTTGCTATATAAACTATCTTTTTTTGTATTTGATTATGATAATTTCCATTGCCATCTTTTATCATTAATATTTGCGCAATGTGAAATAAGGAGTTTGGTCATTTCATTGGGTTATATTATTTTCTGCAGACTTTTTCTAATTTTTATTTTCCTTCCTTTTCTGAAGGAAAGAGAAATGACATATTTAATACTACATATGAATAATTAGGACATATTTCAAATATAAACATTTTCATTTTGATTGGGAATAGATTTAGTCATCTCCGGGAGACCATGCATTATGTTCCCACAAATAAATATCTGATCGAATATCATTATCAGCCGCATTATAGCATTTCAAAGCATCCTGTAATTCGTATCCTCTATAGGCTTTACACAATCGAAAGAACATATCATAGTTGTGGATAGCATATTCAAGAGGGATTTTTAAATTATTATCCTGTTTTCTTATATCTTTTGTATGCTCCATGACTAATAATGCATGTTCTATATTATCACTAATTACTGCATAATGAAGAGGAAGTTTTCCATCATTGTCAGATATATTGACATTTGCTTCAGATTCAATCAGGTGAGATACAGTATTGGTCTTATTATATATTAATGCATAGTGAAGAGCTGTTTTCCCTGTATTGTCACATATGCTGTAATGAAACTGATACGAAACTAGCCTTTCTGCAATATCATCACTACAATTTATAGCTGCATAATGCAGAGGAGTTTTTCCTTCGTTGTCAATTGCATCGAAATCTGTCTTCATACTATCAACTGGCAAGTTTAAATTCCCAAAATATTGTGCAGCATAATGAAGAATGGTTTTTCCATATTCATCTTTTTCATTGTCATCTCCTTCATGAAAATGATAATAGTATTGAGTTGCAATCTTTATAGCATTGCGTCTTAGTGCTTGACATTCTTTATCAATGTTTGTTGGCAATATAGAAAGAATGCTTTCCCATATATTTGGGTAAAAACATGAATTAACAATGAATCCTTTGATGTCATTAATCATATCAAAATGAATAAAAAACGCATGGATGTTATTGTATTTTATGTATTGATTGATATCGATTTGAATTCCATGTTCGTTCTTTAAAAAAGTAACAAAATCAATGTTATGAGACATAATTGCATATTTCATGCACTTATTATCTGGTTTTTGATATTTCAAACATTCACTAATAATTTCTGGATTTCTCCCAAAAAACTTCAAACAATTAACTGAACCATAATAACAACAAGATTCAATTAAATTTAAGCGATTTTTTACGCAAGGAAGAGTGTTGAAGTAAATAGCTTGATATTGTGAAAATCCATTTTGTTCTGTTATTGGAGCAAGCAATTTCACATCATTATATATGATTGATTTTAATAAATCATTAATTTGCGAGTAGTATATGAGAGCGGGTTGTGTGACTTTTTTTGTAAACGTAAGAATTCATACAATATAGAACGATTTTGTATCATTTATTTTAACATATGAAGTAAAAAATGTATGATTCTTACGGTTTTTATTCTTACGTTTTTGAATAAATCAAGATTTAAAAAATTTTCAAAATTGTAAGACATTTACACTCAGCCCAAACATAGTGGAATTAAAAAAATTGTTTAAATCATGAATGAAATCAATGGAGTCATAATCAAAGACCTCATAAACGAGAAAAATAAATTGAAACTAATGATTATTTGAATTTATGAAATCAATTATTTGATTCATTCTTTCTTCAATCTCTTCTATTCTTTTTGTTAAATCATCTATTTTCATTAATGAGGTGATTCTTGATTGAGGAATAGATTTCAAACTAACCACTCCTTTTATTTTTGAAATTTTATTTTTATTTTGTATGAAATGAGTGTCAAGACTAACGACGTTAAAAAATTAGGATTCACAAACATGGAAATAAAGGATATATTAGAGGAGGCAGGTTATGAGGTTGATAAATATTATTTAAGAAATTGTCAAAAATTCGCGGAGTTTTTAAATGAGTTTGATTATGATGAAAAAATGAATAAAGATGATGTTATAAATTTCTTATATCCCACATCTAAAAAAGAAAAACCTAAAGAACCTGATGTTTTCCCTGAATATTATGAAGAACGAATTAAAGATGATGAATACGATGAAATTGAAAGACTGGAAAAAATAAGAGATGAAATAGATGAAAAAATTAAGGAATTAAGAGAAGTTGAAAAATATAATGAAAATGAAGTAGAGGGTTTAATGAATATCCCAGCTTCAGAATCAGCAGTTCAGAAATCTCATGAAGAAAGATATAAAAATTATGTCTTAGAATCAACACAAAATTTATTAGATGGTGATATTGACGAAACACTTTCAGAAGAAGGCACAAAATTTATTCATAAACATAAGCTTCAGTTTATTGACGATGGAGATTATCCATGTATATTACTTTCACCTCCTCTTGATTCTGAAAAATTCAAAAAAGCACTGAAAAATGTAACATATGCAACAAATACGATTAAGAAAGAAGACCATGATATTTACACAAATTATTATTTAAATAAATGTACAGGTGTTGATAAAGTTTTTGATTTGTTAGATAAAATATCAAAAGAAACAATTGGTACATATAAAATTTTATGCGATTGTGGTTTCATTATTGAAGATACCAATAATGTTTCATATGAAAGAACAGCACCGAAGGAAGACGAAGTTGAAAGGTCTATACCATTCGTTATTAAGAACATAAAAGATATGAAAACTTATAAACATTATATTTATTCATTCATTTCAGAAAAAATGGAAGCAACCCATAAAACATCATCTCATCATTTTATAGCTATTCATACATTCCTTTTCAAAGTTGTGAAATTAAATAAGACAGGAATTAGATTTAATGTATCAGGGTACGCATTCTTGAGTAAATTAAAATGTATTCGTCACGTCGCAGATGATAAAAATTTATGTGTCCTTAATTCATTTTATGGACTTTAGCCCTGGACTCTCTGAGTCTCGGACTTTAAAAAAAATAAATAAAGTTTATTTTTATTCTTACATAAATGAACAAAAATGGAACAGCTAAAATGAATGATAATCAAATAAGAGCCGAGGTAGTAGAAGGTTATTTAAACGCTTCTATAACATTCCTGATGGTGTTAATCCTAAAACTCGTAGAAGTTATTTAAATGAAGCCATAGATGCATATGAAGGATTTGACATTTCATCAGAAAGTGAGAGGTTAGCAAGAATGTTAAACGTTAATATTGATTTTTATTATTGTGACCCTCAACCAGAAGACGTAGACATTAACAAGGTAGACTTTCCATTAGTGGAATCAATAATGATAGATCCAGAATTTGAAACAGTAAATATTTTATTAACACAGAGTCCATGTGGAAAACTTCACGCTGACAGAATTACAGACGTTGAAGCACTCACAGGATATAAAGTTTGCCCCTTTTGCAAAGAAGAAGTATATTCTATCCGTGATGATCCAGAAAGGAAAAACCAAAGAAGATTTTTAAAACATTGTGAGAAATGTAAAGAAAATAATGGAAGATTAATTCAAGACGTTCAATTGCAAAACACACAACAACCATATGCACCACATATTACGAAACAGAAGATATATCAATGGCTATTAGCACATAATTTGCAGGAATATTATAAACCAACAAGATATTATATTACTTTTGACTTCGAAACATTAGAGACTAAAGAAGAACTTCAACTTTCTGAATGTGCAACTTTGAACGCTTACTTAAAACCATTCATGGTATCATCAACGGTTAAATTAAACGATAAAACATATACGAGGAATTTTTGCTTAACATCAAGTGATTCTTTATTTCTGATTGGATTGAATTTTTATTTTCAACCTGTTCATTAGTTGCTAAATCAAATATTGAACAATATGAAGAATTAATGAATACATTAAATGAAAACAGAAGGAAGCATTTAAAGAACTTCTAGATGAGGAATTCAATAAAGTGAATATCATAGGTTTTAATTCGGGAAAGTTTGATTTAAATTTAATTCTTCGTGATTTAAACACTGCAAAATGGAAAATAAAATCAATGCTGGGTTCATCTTCTCAATTTAAGCAAATCATTGTAAAGAAAACAAACGTTCCATATGAATTAAGATTTATTGACATCAGAAATTATATAGCGGGTGGAACATTAGACCAATTCACTCAAGATTTCGGAAATAATAAAACACGTGTTAAATCCTTTTTCCCTTATCAATTCATCACATGGGAGAATTACGAAGAAGAATTATATAAAGTGGAACCATTCACTCAAGATTCATTTTATTCAGCATTAATTCAAGAAACTATATCCGATTCAGATTATCAAATATATCTCAATGATGCTAAAAATTTTGAGAATAGATTAGAATATTTTATTCATTATTGCAATAAAGACGTTGAAATTATGATTGACCCAATTGATAAAATTATCGAAGAAACATTTGTTTATAAAATTGACATGCTTCATAATCTTTCTTTATCATCGAATGCTTCAATGATTCGTTACGCTTTAGCATATAAAGACTTTAATCCTAATGAAACATATCCAGAAGAAGAAAATGTGGAATCAAGTTTTGAATTAACGAAAAAGTATTGGAAATATAAAATTGATTCATATAAGAAACAAGATGAAAAGGCGAAAAGAGATACTAAAAATAATGTTTCAACGGATGATTTTCAATACTATCACGATTTAATCCTTTCATCTAAATGCAAAATGTGTGGTAAAGCGTTTACATATGCTAATAAACCAACATTGGATAGAATCGATAATGAAAAACCACATACCAAAGAAAATTGTCAGTTAATGTGTTGTTATTGCAATGTCGTAAAATCAAATAAAGATGAAGATGTTCAACGTTTAAGAATCAATTTAAGAAATTATGCATTAAAAAATAATTTACCAATGACTTTAGATTCAGTTGAAGCTTATCACATTCTCCGTAATGGAATTACTGGTGGTTTATCAAATGTTCAACATAGAGTAAATCTTAAAGGAATCACGCACATTAATAAACTTTCATATAATCCAGAAACTAAAACTGTATCAAATGAGGACACCACCAACATTATGACTCATTTCGTTGGTGTTGATTTTAATTCATTATATCCTTCATCATTTTCATCTAATCCTCATGATTTCATTCAATATACTGACCATAAAATGTATATGCCGGGAAGATTGAATGGTGTTATCATTTGTGATACAGCAACAAAGAAAGCAAAAGCACTGGGAATTATTAGAAAGAAAAATACTTTATTCGTGGCTGAAGTAAAGGGTCACATTGATGAAAAATACATTAATGATTACATAAACTTTTTACCGATAATAAGAAACTTAGATATTATCACAGATGAAAAAACAATTGGCAGTTTTATGTATAATTACATGAAATCAAACAATTTACCAGTTGACCAGAAACAGAGAAAATTAACTCAGTTAGCATCAACACACAACCAATATCAACCATTTTCTTCTTATTATCTTTGGTATCTAATCGACAGATTTCATTTTATCATTGATGACATTCAATCAATTTTAACATTTACGAAAAACACTTGTTTTAATGAATTTGCGAACAAATTTATGAACGAAAGACAAAAGGCTGAATTAGAAGGAAATAAAGGAAAAAGTTTATTTTGCAAGATTTCACTTAATGGATCATATGGTTACGATGCAATGAATACACAAAATTACACAAAGACTAAAATAATGAATGCACAGAAGGCACGCGTTGCATGTATGGCAAATAAGTTTAAAAACATAAAGAAATAGGTGAAGATACATATCAAATGATGCTCAAAGATAGATTTTATAGATGTGAAACATGTTTACAAGAGGCATTCTTCACTTTAGATAATGCTAAATACTGGTATTTGGTTTTCATTTATGATTTTATGTATAAATGCATGAATGTTAATCGTTTTCATTTCATTGAAGGTGATACTGATTCATCTTATTGGGCAATCGCTGGTGATCCAAATCTTCCTAACACTCAAGCATTTCAAGCAATTGTAACCGATAAACAATTTTATGATAAAAACATTTACAAATTCGCACCTTTTGATTTCTTTTGTTTTGATGAGAAATTTAAACCTAAATTAAAGAATAAAGCTGAAGAAAAAGCACATG